AGTGGTGTCCATCAGTACTACAGTACTAACAGTACGTATGATTACTGTTACTAACATACCAACGTACTAGCGTATTAACTCCACTTCTCTGACAACTATAAATGACCTGCGTTTTTATGTACTAGCATTCAATTTGAGGATTGCATGTCACTAGCATACCAATGTACTAGCATACTAACTCCAATTCTTCAACTACAATGAATGACCTGCGTCCTTATGTACAAGCATTCAATCAGAGGACTTTGTGTCACCAGTGTACCAACGCACTAACGTACTAACTACACTTCTCAAACAAGCGTAAGTGATTTGCATACCAACATACTAGGGTTCGATTAAATGACTGTGTGTCTCTTGTATACCAACGTACTAGCATACTAACTCCATTTCTCTGATAACCATGAATGACCTTTTTATGTACAAGCATTTGATCACTGCATGTCACTAGCATACCAAAGTATTAGCTTGAACAAGCATGAATGACTTGCATACCAACATAATAGGGTTTGATTAAAGGAATGCATGTCTCTTGTGTACCAACATACTAACGCACTAACTCCACTTCTCCATCCACCATGAATGACCTGCATCCTTATGTACAAGGGTTCAGTGGACTGCATGTCACTAGCGTGCTAACTACACTTCTCATTATTGGACCACAACAGGTGCATACAATGGTGCAAGGAGCATAACCTGCTCGTGTTGTCATTTCCACGTCCTATGAGTAAATGCTGCAATACACTATGTTGAACAGGGCATGGAACCTCACTGGGCGATGCACATCAACAGAAGCAGTGGTAGATTGGTATTACTACTGCTATGAGGTTTGTGCTGAAAGAGTAACGCAACATCATAAGTGGCCAATAGGTGGACCTGGTACTACTGTTTAGATTGATGAGTCCAAGTTTGGCAAGATGAAGTATTACTGTTGTCACTATGTCAAAGGAAAGTGGGTCTCTAGTGGCATTTGCTGTGTAACCAAGGCCTGCTTCTGTGTAATGGTAGAGCGCAGATATAAGGATACACTCATACCCATTATTCGCACTAAATTTTGCTGGGAACATGCACATTGAGATACATGTGGAAAGTTTATGATTGCCTACAAGACAAGGCCTACAATCTTCTCACAGTGAGCCAATACCTAAACTTCATAAACCCAGACACAGGTGCTCATACTCAGCGCATTGAAAATACATGGTGGGGAATCAAACAAAGTATACTTCATACAGAAATATTCAAACATCTCTTTGGTAGCTACCTACCAGAGTGGTTGTGGTGTAAGCAATATGGAAAAGATTCTCTTGGAAATATAATCGAGCATATCGCCAAATTATATGACGTTTGGAAGACATCATAAAAACTGAGCTCCTTGTGCCTGTCTGTGCAACCACTGCAGAGGAAAATAAAAATTGAATGAAGAAAGAAAAACAAGTAATCCTACTTGTAAAGGGGACGGGAAAAACACCAACAACAACTAACAACTTTGAAGGTGAGCATCAATTTCATTTTTTTTGTTTGATTTCAAAAACAACAATTTTGAGGCTAATCTGAGGTGGAACTTAAGCTGACTTAATTTATAGATTTCTTAAAATATAGTAATTGTCATTTGACTGTTAAAATCTTTTAAATAGAGCTCGATTAAGCGCAATTTTTATTTTAAAATGGCGATTTTTTGGAGGTTCAGAAAAAAAACTAAACTTCTTCAAAACAAAGCAAATAGTCCCAAAGGTAATCTATTGTTTTCTTCTAACAAAGGACTGTATGCATAATGAAGTGTGGGGCTGTGCGGAAACTTTGCCAACAGAGTTCACCACTCAGATGTTCAAACGTTTCTGAGGTTTTAAAGTCACATTCATAAGGCACATGTGTAAATAGTTTGAGCCCTATGCTTATCCATCTTGCTACATTCAATTACTGAGTTGCCTTTCTTATTTCATCATGTTATCTGATTTAAATGTTTCTTTTCCCTTTCTTGGCAGGTACTGTTGTTCTGACTGGAAATTCCTGGCAATGGTTTACCATATTAACTCGACTGCTGCAAAGTACTTCTGCTGACTTCACAAGTAAGTTTATGATAAAGACCTGTCACGTCTGGTCGCTTAAGGTTCTTTACTGCTATAATTGCAAACTTTGATATGTGTCAGTTCCAGAATTTTAAACATTTTGATAAACCTGAATGTATGATTAAAATAAGAAAAATTTACACTGAAGTTGTGCAACAAATTAAAAACATGACAATAAATTTTGTTCACCAATTTTATGTCAAATGTTCATTTGATTTTAGTTCAAGACGGGCCAATTCAATGAAGTCTAAATGATTCTAGAACCTTGAGATATGGCAAGACAACAGATCAGAGGAAAGGGTGCATCCATGACCCACTAATGTCAATACCTTTTGAAAAGGTTATTATTAACACTCTGCTCCTCTTTCTGAGGATAATGAGGTTGCTTTTCCGTTGGGTATTAACTATGAATGTTTTTTGAGCCATAGTTTTCGGTTAACCATAGTGTACATTTCAAAGAATGGCATAAATCTTACTTTTTCCTTCACTGGCAATTTATCACAGGTTATTGAACTGGCAATCAATAGAGAGGTTTTGGAGATTGCACTACAAGCAATAGGTATTCCATTGAAGTGAAAGGGGGCCGTCCCATATACAATGGACAAGACTAGGTGGTATTTAAATGAAAACCTCATGATATTATAATTGATAGCATTATAAGGCTAACACTTTCTCTTTGACTGCAACTATTTAGAGAATCAGATTTGCTTGTAAGCAACTAGAAGTTGAAGGAGCCAAAATGATTCTAATGTACATTTTCAATTTTGGCTTAGGTAAAGATCTGCACAACATACTTCAAAATTTGGAGCTGGAGGCAAAATCAGGAGATGGTCTCCTACAAGAATGCAAAGAAGTTGTGGAAGGTCTTTTAGTTCTTGATATCTGACAATGTGCACAAAAATAGAGATGGTTTTGAACAGATAGCATATTTCTAATTTGCTAAAAGTGAAAATATAATTTTCTAACTAAAGAAGAGCAGAAAAAAATGGGAGGGTTTATCACAATTCTGGAGATTTTCTTAGCTATTTTCACTCTAGAAGTGCAACCAAGCGAGGACCAATATCTACCTCCTCAGAAATTCCAAGAGGGCAAGGAAACGGACAAAATTTTTCAGAGTGGTGCACTTTGATGAAAACATAACTCCCTACACACATGATAGGTCAATAATCTTGTAAACCAATCGTAAAAAACTGGATAATATTGATATTAATGATAATCATTGTTATTCTTTTATTATTTTTTGTAGCTTTAATGCACCATGTGCCCCAGTTGCTAAAAAAAAATGTTGCAGTATTTCTGATATAAATTGCCAGCCTGTTGAAAAAAAAACCATGAACAACTACGGATGTTTCATTGTGACACACAAAAGGGTGGCAGCAGCTCCAAATAAACAATTCAGGTCATGGAGTAAGAAAATAGAGTAGTTTACGAGAGTGTACAACCTCCAATGAACCAAAAGATCATACAATAAAAAAGTTGGATGATGATTGGGACAGCATAGCCACATACACCAACAACCAGGAAGAAGGATAAAGGTAATGTCAAGCATTAAATATCTTAGAAGACATTTTAGAGTATTGCACAGCAATACAAAATAATTCTGTGTAATTATTGCACATATTGAAAACGATGATACTTTTGGTTTGTTGGCCTGACTGAATTTCATTATCTTATTTGGCAAGTCTGGGAGTAGCCACAGCAGCAAGTAATTGGAGAAAAACAGAAGAGCTCTATAACAAAATAGCTCTTTTTAGAGCTATAACAAACGACTCCTTCAGGAGCCACAACATATGTTTAAAGCCATAACCAACAAGCAAGTGTTTCTTCCAGTAAAGAATAACATAAGCCAGTACTTTCAGCCAATAAATATCAAAATGTTTTCCCTGTATGACTATTGAATAGGAAGGCCTCCCACACAAACCGATCAACTCAGTCAAGTTTCTCCCAGTTAGAATAAAATAACCCAGTACTCTCTGCAAATAAATATCAAGATTCTTTGCTTGCAAAAGTGTTGATTAATAGACAGACCTTTTTCAAAGTTTCAACCTTTCACCACTTCAACAGCTTTCAAATTCCCTGACTCAAACTCTTGGAAAAGGTCATAACTTTCCCACTTGCTCTACCCAATTTATTCATGGAAGTGTGTGGGGCCATTTTCACACTCACTATAGAATGACTGTTAGGCGAAATACACTGCAGAAAATGAAGTCATTTCCAGATCTCCTGGTTCACACTTTGGGTTCTTCCATGAATGTACACATGCTAAGAAGCCTCTTCAATTTGGGAGTATCAGATCAAGGGCAATTGCAATCAGTGAGAAAGCCTCATTCCACTGATTCAGTAGAATGGTACTTTTGTTGCAACTTTTCAAGCTATTTCAGTGTTAAGGTTTACAAAACTTTCATAGTAGCTTACAGTCAATGATGGCGCTGTAGCAGATCTATTGGAAGAACTTGGGGCCTACCTGGAGGGTCATCTTGACATCTTGGATGCAGTAAGTACAAGTCTTAAAGCTGAAAAACGTCAGTTAGGTTACTTGTAGAAAAGAAATATTGCAAGAGTTGAAGAAGCTTTATTTAAGTTTTGCGGACTAAGCTGCCTCATGGGAGGAACTTGTGAATTTTTTGCATCGTGTAGCACATAAAATAAACTTGGAAATGGTGTGCATTTAGGCCATATAAATATTCACTTATAGATAAACGTTAACACTAATTTTCAGAAGAGGCCCCTGGTAGATTATATTTCTCGTTGGTAGGTAGTGATTTACACTGTTTCTTTTGCTGTACTAATCAAAGCTTTTGTGCATGTTTTGTGCTATACTGTATTGATTTTACAATATCTGTCACCTTTTCAGGGATCGGATGGTGCGGCTTCCAGTCTGTTTCCTCACTGAACACCTCTGAACCAAGAAGGGGCTTGCATTTCCAGAGTACTTTGGTTATGACTGACAGCAGTGAAAATGAAAGTGATGAGGAGTGTGATGCAACAGACTTTGGCTCCAGTGCCAGCTGTTGCAAGCAACAGAAACTGGAAAATGAAGCTTTGAGAAAGCGACTAGAAAAACTATACAAGAGGCTTAACATTGCACGTAAGTCTTTTTAAATTATATAATGACTTCCTATCTAAAAGTCATTAATTTTGTCTCTGGTTAACATCAGAGCAATTCAGCAATAATTATATTGTCGTACTGCACACATTTCTTTTGTAGGTTCTATCAGTCACATAAGATCAGATTCAAATACACACAGAACTACAAATAAATGTCATAATCAAAGTTAACACAAATAAATGCCAGGGCTGTTCACTAAAATTTTACCTAGCAGACCAGCTTTTATTTGAGCCTACTGTTACATTAAGAAAATATCTGATGGTAGTTTCTTGAATTCAATGTTTAAATCAAGTTTGACTTAATGTATTTAATATCCTTCAGTGGTTTTAAGTGTTTGAAGTAGGTAAGCACAATTTAAATATTGTTAAAAAATGTGTCGTAACAAGAAGTTTGACAACTTAAATTTTTTATGTTGTCTTGCAGTAAAGGCAAAGACAGTCGAGGAGGTGGTAAAAAACAGACCAGTGGCTGGCATTCTGGACGCAGCATTGGCTGTCGAGTATAAGGTAATTCATTATTTGTCTGTTCTGCATGCCATCAAGATAAATTAAATTGCACAATCTGGATTGCTCACTTTACATCTGACTGCTACCACACATCGTTTCTTTGACCACTGGTTGGTTAGAATAACAACTTCATATAATAAGGACTGAAAGGAGTGGCTGGAGAGGACTAAAAAATATGTTTTCTCTAGATTGTTGCATACAGACCAAGGGAAAGTATTTCTCTTCAGTCCAACCAAACTAGCCAAAGTACCTGTTAGAGCTTCACTTAGGACTGCAGTGTTACAAATTAACTGTACAACTGTTGTTGTTTTTTATTTACAGATGGTTGAAGTAATGGAGGGATCAGGGGTATACTGGTACTCCCACCAGCGGGCATATTGCTCTGCATTTAAGCATTGGGCGGGCTACATCAATGCTGCCATAGATATATTTTTTAACAAAGAAATACTTGCTGCCTCTTCTGCAATGGGGAATGAAAAAAAGAGCAAGAATGGAAGTAGCCATCAGCCATTAAATCCCCTTATCATCCAAGCTCTTATTGGTAGGTTTAACTAAATGCAGATACAGTATGCCTTTTTATGAAAAGGTAGAGTCATGCAGTTGATTTAAGGTTAAAGTTTTACTTTTTTAAAAGGTTTTTACAACTGGTATCTGTATGTTGAACTGACAGAAGAGTATTTTTAGTGGAGTTAATACATTTTGACCCATCCACACAAGTAAATGTTTTTTCAAAAGCTGCTATACTCACAGATCCACAATAAAAACTTCACTTTTTAAAACTTTTGATGAAAGTATAGATTTCTTATTATTTGTTTCAATCAGTGTAAGGCCATTGCCTAACGTGAATCCAGTCGAATGGGGAGCTCAAGAAATGGCTCTAGACTAGGAACCTTTTTTGCTGTAGCACTCAATATTTCACAAGTTTGGCTCCTACCTTTCACCTTTTGGCTTTATAGTCTCTTTCTTTTCTTTCTTAATGCATCAAAAATCCAAGTTTTTAAATGAAAACACAATACAAATGTGGACCCAGGCATCTTAATTGAGTAATCAATGATTAATGATGGTTAATTAACTAGTGATAGAGATATCGAATTTCCTTTATAATCTAGCGCGTGGCCTAGCGTCTCATCTTTTGTCAGATCCGGAGACGAGGCGTAATCTCTTATTCCTTCACGTTCTTTTCTCCAAACTCTTTCATTCCTAATGGCACTCTCCGCAGGCGCACGTCCAAAACGCCGCTCCAAGAAGGTGTCTGATCCAGACTTCGTGTACAGTTTTCCAACGGACTCGCTGTTTCACGACGCTCTCATTCTGGAGCAGAGCAATCCCGTTGACCCCGTTCTCTTCGAACAGTCTCCCAAGTCAGAAGCTAGATCGTCTAAATCAAAAAACAGACCAGTTACAGTACCTGGAGCTTCTTCACCGCCATTCGTTCCTGACGTCGATACCAATCCTTCTCTTTCATTCGACCAGCAGCTTCAGTTGATCAAACTACAAAAGGAAAAGTTGGAGCTGAAGGTGAAAGTACTTGCCATGAGCCGCCAGGAATGCCCTCTCGAAAATTCGTTCGCAGATCTCTCCACGCGAAACGCCAGAGATGCTATTGTGCCAGGACACACCAAGCGCAACATCGACTGGCCACAGGATTTTGTTCCGTCCATTCAAGGTGAATATGATAAGTTAGAACTGCCCGAGTTTGTTTCGGGTTTCTTGATTATGATCAAAACCTATGATTCTTCGCTAAAGGATGCCATGTTAGCTCATCTCGAGTTACTACTCACTAAAGCAATTAGTTATTCGTGGATTAGCGTTCGTGGTTTTCATAAATTTATCGCCAAAAAGGTCGAACAGCGTCGTTCGGAATGGCAGGATTTTAAGTCTATCCAAGATCAAGCCACAACCTTTTTTCGCCATTCAGATTTACGAAATACACGACAGCGAATTGACAACCCGCGTCAACCCTCTCACAACGCATCCTCGGGTGATCGTCAACAGGCGGTTCCACCCACAGTCAAAAAAGCTTGCAAAACCTGGAATTACGCTGGCTCTTGTGATTGCGATCCGCAAGATGAAGTTAATTACAAAGAACATCACTGCTGTCGAGTGTGCAAGGCGGATCACCCGATGCTTCATTGCTCAAAACGTCGCACACCAATCCCACCTCAATGACAACTAGGCCGAGTAATTCCAGACGAAATTTCCTCAGCGACCTCTTTGACCCGGAACGGAAACGGACATGTACAGTTTAAAACTTCAGCAGTTGTTTGACATTTAATTGCTTCTCGTCTCCAGCAGCCAAATGCCTTCGGTGCCAAGGTTTTGGTTCCTACTTCGCTCTTGCTTTCGAACTGGAGAACACTGCTTTCCAATTATCATGATAACATTGTGATCGATTATCTTTCGTACGGTTGGCCTGTTAATTATACAGCACACACTCCTCCTGTTTCATCATTGCATAATCATCCATCTGATACGAACTTTGCTTCGCATGTGCAAACCTATCTTGACACTGAATTATCTTGGAATGCTATAGCCGGACCCTTCGATCATCCTCCATTTGCAGACGATTTCGTATCCTGGCCTCTTCAAACAGTGCCCAAACGTGGTAACTCGACGCGGCGCGTGGTTATGAATTTGAGTTTCCCTCACGGCTTCTCAGTCAACGATGGCATTCCTCAAGACACCTATCTGGGCGAGCATTTTAAGCTACGTTTGCCTGGCATTGATCGCCTCGTTGAATTCATTCTCGAGAAAGGTCGTAACTGTCTCATTTTCAAGAAGGACTTGCGTCGGGCTTATCGACAGTTTCCTGTAGACCCCAAGGACTATAATTTACTGGGCTTTCGCTATAAGGGTAAATTTTATTTTGACACTCGTTGCCCTTTCGGTTTGCGTTCGTCAGCTATGATTTGCCAACGCACGACAAAGGCGGTTGTCCATATCTTCACTGAACAGGGGTTTTTCGTAGACGTTTATCTTGATGATTTTTACGGCGCGGAATATCCATCTCTTGCAGCCCAGGCCTTTTCCTGTCTTGGTCAGCTATTCCAGCATCTCGGCTTAGATTCTTCTCCTGAGAAGGACTCGCCTCCTTCAACGTCCATGATTTGTCTCGGTCTTCTTGTTGACACTGCAGCGTTCACCCTCGAGGTTCCTCCTTCATGTCTCGATGATTTACAGGCCGAACTCAAACTTTGGCAATCCTCTACCTGTTTTACTAAGAAACAACTTCAGTCCCTTTTAGGGAAGCTCTCTTTTGTTACCGCTTGCGTTAAGCCCGGTAGAATCTTCATGGCTCGACTCCTCAATAGTCTTCGCGAGTGCACGCAGCCAGCCCGTCACCGATACCCCATTTCTGCTTCTCTGCTCTCAGATATTCAGTGGTGGCTCGATTTTCTTCCCCGGTTTAATCGTGTATCGCTCATCAAGCCTTCCTCCTGGGACTTTGAGAGCCTTAACTTCTCGACTGACGCCTGCCTTTCTGGAGGGGGCGCTACTTGTCAAACGGAGTGCATTAGCTTTGTTTTTCCTGATTGTATTTCTCCTGCCAATCTTCATATCAACGCGCTGGAACTTTTCACGATCATTGTTTCACTCAAGCACTGGGCTCCTCAGTTACGCGGATGCAAATTCATCATTGCCTGTGATAACTCCGCCGCGGTGACCGTTATCAATTCTACAAGATCCAAGGATCCTTTCATGCAGCACTGTCTCCGACAACTTTGGTTCACCGCTGCTCTTTTCGATTTTGAAGTTCGAGCAGCCAACATAATCAATTCGCGGACTGTCTCAGCCGTTGGCATTCAGATGCTTCAGCTCGCGATACTTATTATCGTCTGTGTAGTGACTTTGATCAGATTTTTCATTATCAAGATATTGACTCTGCTTGTTTTTCTTTCGACGTTGCGTGACAGTATTTTCTTTTTTCTTTTGTAGACTTCCACAGGGGATCAGGTTCACATTTCTCTCCAGCTGTTTCGCTTGTCACCTTGGAGTCTTTTGTGTCACGTCTTATCACAATGGCTCACGCCACGTCAACACAGAAAAACATCGCAGTTCATATCCGTAGTTACCAGATTTTTTGTGAACAGAGGGCTCTCCAGTCCTTTCCGATTAGTGTAAAATCTATAAGTTTGTATATCGCCTATTAGTCATGCAAAAACGCGCTTCTGGTACTATTCTTAATCATCTTAGCAGCCTCAAACATGCTCATCAAATTGCCGGATACGAGCTCACCTGGAGTTCTAATTATCATTTTCAACTTTTGCTGAGGGGCACTAAACGTTTCTTAGGCTAGGCTGTCGCTCGAAAATATGCTATTACACCTTCTATTTTGCACGCCGCATTTGACCATTTCAATCTCTCACTTCCGCTGCACGCAGCTATGTGGGCTTTGTTTCTAGTTGCATTTTTTACTTTTTTACGCAAATCCAATTTAGTACCAGACAACCCGCGGCGAATTTCTCCTAAGGTCATCACTAGGGCAAGTTTGGCTTTTACACCTGTGGGCGCTAACATCCATGTCTCCGCTACCAAGACCATTCAGTGTCAGCAACGTTCTCTAGATTTGCCCATCCCCAGGGTCCCTGGGTCTCATCTTTGCCCCATTTTCGCTCTTCGTCGCCATTTATCCCTAAATCCCGGGCCAGTTTCTGCTCCCCTTTTTTCAGTTATATCGGGGTCTGGTCTACAACCAATTACTTACAAGCAATTTTGCGCCTTTCTTTCTCGGGTTATTTCTAGTCTCCACTTAGATCCCTCTAAATTTTCTCCTCATAGTTTTCGACAGGGCGGGGCGGGGCGGGGCTACTTTTGCCTTTGACTGTCATATTCCCTCGGAAATCATCAAATTGCAGGGCGATGGGCAAAGCGACGCATATCTCGTGTATCTAGAATTATCTCAGCAGCAGAAACAGCGCGCGGGTCAAGCTATGGCGGACAAGCTTCAGACTATGTTTCCAGAATAATGATTTCTTAATAGATTTCCATTATTTTTTCTTTTTTCATTTATAACCTTTTCGTATTCTCCTCAATCACCTCACTCTCCATTTTTCTACGCTCCAGTTTGGGCACTTTGGCGTTCTTGTTTATTGTCCAGTATTTTGTCAGGCAGTTCTCGCACTGTGCAATAAACTCATTTTGCCCCAAACTGTTGCGTCGTCTTGGTAACGTGGGTGATTGAGTAATCATTGATTAATGATGGTTAATTAACTAGTGATAGAGATATCGAATTTCCTTTATAATCTAGCGCGTGGCCTAGCGTCTCATCTTTTGCCAGATCTGGAGACGAGGCGTAATCTCTTCCCACCACTCCCACCCTTAAACAATGTATCTTTGATTAGTTTTTTCTTCTTAGTTGCGTTCTTGTTTATTGTCCAGTATTTTGTCAGGCAGTTCTCGCACTGTGCAATAAACTCATTTTGCTCAAACTGTTGTGTCGTCTTGGTAACGTGGGTGATTTACTGATAATGCATAAGTAAGTTACAGGTTTGAGAACATGCTTCACTCTGGCAATTCCTAATTCAAAGCAAACTTTAAAGAGATGTAATTTTTGTAATCTTCCTTCAAACAAGGTTTGCTCCAAGTTCAATAAAGATGTCCCCACACCAAGCCAGATTGTCCAAAAATCAACATGAAATGTGTAGAGGCAAGGTGGCCACCAAGAACCAGACAAGAGTAACAGCTGTGATTTGAGTAAAAGGACACAGTTGATGTGATTTCATTGTCTTGCTATATTTAGGTTCCCACACAACTAGACCATGTAGTTTTTGAAGTGATTTTCAGTTCAGGACAATGCAATTTTGCCGCAGTAATAACTACTGTTACAGTGTGACATGCCTTATGTTGTATTTAAGTATTATATTAATTATATAATTATATTTTGCAATTCTTCGATGTTTTACAAGAGACACAACCCAAACATTTTTCTTCATAGTTGCTAGTTTTGTTGACAGTTTAAGTGTGTTATATCCATTGAGGACAGGATATAGAATTCGTGTGGAGAGTATATTAAGTATTTTTTTGATTGTCTAATGTATTAAATATATGCAAAGAATGCAAAACTGTGGTTCCTGTTTCCATGTTCTGAAGGTTCCTGATATCTCGAATACTTTAAGGAAAAATTGTTAGAATAGTTGGAGTTCAAGGTAACCACAAATAAGTTACTTTTGAAAATAGTAATAGGTTTAAGGTATCAGTGAGTAAGCTCTGTTTTGAAGAAAACCTTAAACACAAATAATTTTGAGCAGTGCAATAATTTGGAGATTGACTACTGGTACATTTTGATCTCAGGACTGCATGAGCATTATATTTCCTCCCCACATTCCATAAGCATGCAGGCACCACTGGGTACGTCCTTAAGGAAAAAGCTGTGCCATAGAATCTCCATAGTTTTTGGGGAGATGCACTGATCATATGGTTTTGCTATGGGACTGTAATCAGAAGAGCATGAACTCGATCATTACTAGATGATATGGGAATTGTATGGAACTTTTAGAAATTCGTAGCATTCCCATATCAGATGCTGCAGTATCAATGAATGATATGGGAATTGTATGAGACTTCACAAAACATAAGTAACATTCCCATATCAGATGCTAGTATGCGTGGATGATATGGGAATTATATGAAACTGTGCCAAATGCATAGCATTCCCATACAAAAGGGTCAGGGATCATATGGTATTGGTATGGGGCTGATCCATATCATTCCCATACCAGATACTATGGGAAATCTATGGAACTGTGCCAAATACGTAGCAATCCCATAGTTAAATGCAATAGAATCAAAACTGAATGAAGACAGTGGCATATATGGTTTTGATATGGAATCAATAGCCCATACTAAAGCCATATACTACCCATATATGGGCCATAGTTTATGCCATACCATTTCCATACTTGGACCGTATATGGCCCATATCACCAGGTTTGGTAAGGGTGAGCAGCCCACTTTTTGGGATTTATAAGAACTTGGTATGTAATGTGAAGCAATTTTAATGCATTTACAAATTTAACTAGAAAATAATGTTAATTTAACAACATCATGTAAACATCTATTGTAGGCACACAGATTCAAGACAGGAAAGAAACAGAGCCCAGACTGTATAAAGGAGGACCTTTCAAAATTGCATATTACTAGGATTTGTCAATATTTTATATCAACAGCACTTTTATTAAGTAAATGTGTTGTCAGTTGTCAAAGTTTGTTGATCTTAATCATTGCTGCAACTTCAGTATGTGCTCACCTAAAAAAGAAAACAAAAATTTTGTCATTATGTTACGCTGAATTGCCATGGCAGGGGGCTCATGTAGGTCAACTCAATCATGTAGTCATTGACTTTCATTTCATTTGGTGGCTCCTAAAGAAGTCATTCTCTGGTTTATTGGATGAACTTCCATGTGATTGGCTAATCCTTGGCAGAACTGGAACTTATCCAGAAGAGATCAATTTTTGCTGGTAAAATTTCAACAGAAGCTCCTTGAACTTCCTTACTCTTGAATTACTTGAAAACATCAGACCCTAGTGCTATGCTTCGTTAAGGTAAGTTATAAGATTGGTTGTGCTTTTCAAGGTAAATTCAGCACTCCTACTAATTTTCTTTGCTCTCTTCTGCTTGTTATCAGAATGCCTCAAGCAACCATCTTTGAGAGAAGAATCTGGGGAGAGGACTTTATCCTTTGCTGGGTGGGTAACTTGGAGGTAGCAAGGGAAATTTGCACTCTGAATTGCTGCAAACAAAGCTTCCATAGCTCTTGTTTAGTGTTATGTTTATAAACTTAGGGATCCTTTAATACCTAGCGGTTCACCTTTTCAAATACGTACCATGTATCATCTTTCTGAGCATATATGTGTTTGAATAAAGTATTATTGTCATTATTATTAACCTTAAACCTCTCAGGAGTTATGTAATCCAGAACTGTCAAGGAATCTGTTAATATTTGCTTTTTTTCAAAACTGCTTGTGTTGCAATTTCCTTGTTAGTTACAATTTAGTTGTTGTGTATTAAAGGTCTTTTCTTAAAGTGGAGTCATTTCGTGTTTGAAGAGCACAACAGTTGTTGACAAGGGCACCAGATACACCAGGAAAATCAGCACAGTCCAGTATCTTCGTAAAGTTATGGTGTTAAGGGCATATGAAAGAGTTTATACAGGAACGACTTGAAATGTTCTTCAAAGTTAGAAGTGTGCTGACACATAAGCATGTACTGAGTATACTTACCTTAATAGGTAGTAAAATGTATGCTTTGTTGAGGTCCTGCAGAGCAGTAAAAGCTGGCGATTTTGTGACATTATTTAATTCATTTTTCTCTGCTTGTGACAGCAAAGAGACACACATTTTGTAAATATCCATTCTGTGTCAGTGGAAACTGCACAAGTTGTACTGGACAATTTTGTTTGACTGCTTCCAAGATTGTACAATGAAAGACAAAGCACTTGTAACAGTAAGGCACTGCTTCACTTACCAGACAGGGCACTTGAAAATGGGCCACTTTCATTTACTTTGTGTTTGAATCTTTCATTGCACATCTCAAAAATTTGTACAATGGCACATGAGGCATTATCTCTTCAGGGAAAAGATTGTGCTTTTTTGCTTACTGTTGTCAGTAAACCAAAACAGGAATAACACAATTTTGTTCTTATTTCCAACTTTTGCAAAAAGGATGTGGCCTTCCAAAAGGAAGCAGGCAAGGATGCTAAACATAGGCTATTTTTTACTTGACCAGCTTATTCATCAGAATCAATGTTTATTTGATTGAGCCATCTTGCAGGTATATTTTAAAGTACCCACTGACAAATTGTACATCGAACAGCTGAAACGACGTGACGACATCGTCATCACCAAACCAGATAAAGGATCGGGAGTGGTCGTAATGGATAAGTCCGAATATCTGCGACTATTATCCGAAGCTTCCATCAATGATTCCAGTAAATTTCAAGCTGTTCCCCTGGAAAGGCCCTCGAGTAAAGGTAGACCGCCAACATATTACCACCCCCTCCTAAAGAAAGAGAAAGATTTAGACGCCATTGTTCGTAGAATTCTGCCTAAGTCCATAGCAGATACTGTTCGTCCTACAGGTTCCAGATTAGCGCATATGTACGGCTTACCGAAAACACACAAGGAGCGCTTGGCGATGCGCCCTATACTATCAGCAACGCAAACTTACAACTATGCACTGGCGAAATGGCTCGACACTAAACTTAAGCCTCTCTCTCTGAATCGCTACACAGTAACTAACATTTTTTAGTTTGCCTACGAAATTCGCAAATTGGAAATACCAAACGGCGACATTCTGGTTTCTTACGACGTGTCCCCCCTCTTTACCAAAATACCCTTGGATGAAACAATTGAGATATTCGCGAACAGAGCTTTTGACAACGACTGGTTTAATACAACCTATGACCTGAACCTGACCAAAACGGACCTTGTTGACCTTCTCAGTGTAGCTACAAAAGGACAACTCTTCCAGTATAATGGAGCACTTTACGAACAGATGGATGGCGTGGCCATGGGTTCCCCCCTTGGTCCCCTGCTAGCTAATGTGTTCATGTCTTCAATTGAAGAAAACCTCGAGCGAGAGGGTAAACTCCCTTCCTTCTATCGAAGGTACGTTGATGATACACTTACTATCATGCCAAATATCGCAACAGCATCTAACTTCCTGGACACGCTTAACAAGGCACATTCTTCCGTAAAATTTACGATGGAAACCGAATGCAATGGCATGCTCCCTTTTTTGGGCATCCAGTTACTGAACCGATCGCCCCAAATAGAGACAAAGGTGTACGTAAAACCCACGAATTCAAGTCTCCTCTTACATTACCAAAGTCACGTTGACAATCGGTACAAACAGGGTTTACTCTGAACTATGCTGGGTCGAGCACATCGTTTATCTTCTTCTTGGTCACACTTCTCAGACGAATGTGACCGATTGAAGACAGTATTCTCGCGTTTAAAGTACCCCTAACACCTCATCGACTCTGCCACCAAAAATTTCGTTGACTCAAAGGTTTGTGACCAGCAGCGACCATTATTACCAACTAAAGAGACGGATGACACAATACGAGTGGTTCTACCATTTAAAGACCAAACCTCAGCAAATTTTGTGAAAGGACAACTCAAGGATCTGAGCCTAAAAGTGAACACCAACATCCAGCCTGTATTTGTCAGCCGAAAAATTGATCAAGAACTGAATGTGAAAGAAGCAAAGCCATCGATCGTAAATGAACAGTGTGTTGTTTATAAATACCAATGTGACCTGTGCGATGCAGGTTATATAGGATACACACGCGGACATTTACACAATCGTGTAAAAGGACATAAACAACAGTCCTCAGCCATTGCCAAACATTGCAAGAACGTACACGGGACCATCCCTCAGGACCTACTGAAATGCTTCGAAGTTCTTAAGAAGTGCAGGAACAAATTTGACTGCTTATTATACGAAATGCTTCATATAGGAACTTTAAAGCCAAACCTGAACGTGCAATCGGACTCTATTCGTGCGAAAGTATTTGTATAATCTTCGCACCTATTATGTTAATTTTTTGCGCCACATCGCTTAAATACTGTTATTTGCATGTTTTAAACTTTTACCTTGATAATGGAGTCATGACTACTCCGAAAGGTCGGATTTTATCGTTCGTTTTTACCGTTTTATCTAATATAGGTGTTGATGTATTTTCAACTACTCTGGCAAATTCATATTATTTGAATATCTGGCTTGTTTATATGATGTGACAGTTGTTCAACCTTTGGTTAGACAACCAGTTTAGTAGAGAGCAATACAGTTTTTGTGGCTATAACAAAGAACTTACACTTCTGCAAAAGCTCCACATGATTTTACACGGAAACCATGGAGCTTTAGTGACTTCACGAAATGGAAAGCCTCTGAATTTTCCTTTTTGTCCTATTTGCTGGCTTTCCTTGTCTTGTAGTTTGTTCAAGAGGATAGCTACAGGAATCAAGTGCACATAAATTATGTCACTCAAGTGACGTTGACTGTTCAGAGGAATACACTTGTGTTCTCATCAAAACACCTTGAAAGAAGAAACTTTCTATCAGTGATGAGCCACTTTGTTTAGTAATGGCCCTGGCAATCCAGAAACACCCCAGAAGGAGGATTGTAGACCTCATGGAACTTTAAGTTGTAAGCAACTCTGAAAGTGACCAGTCTAAAGACCCAGAGAGTGACTCCAGAATCCACCTCAAGCTTTAAGCACCCTGGCTTTGAAGAGAATGGATCTGATGATGATGACACTGAGAGTAACAGTGACATGAATTCAGGAGTAAGCCATGGTGAACTTCCATCGTATAATGAATCTACAACCTTGACTGCTGACCATTGTGACAAGTAGACGTGTGTTATCTTGTCCTCCATTTCTATTATGTTTTAATTTCTTTCTGACATCCTGACTCTCTGACAAACTCCAATTTTCTTGTTTCAACACCGATAGCACATCGTAAGGACGAACTTTAACCATATCATGCTTTATCACGATCTGCCATTTTGGTTTTACTACCTGCCATAGAAGACATTATTTATTTACAAGGCTGAGACACACAACCAAGGCTACTTCCAAGTTTTGATTAGAGAGGCTGCAAAGAAGTGGAGATGTCAGTCTTAGTCCTGAACTTTGCAAAAGCAGAGAACCTTCAGTAACTGCAGCTTGTGTTTCAAAATGGTCACTAATAATCATCAAGTCACTCTAAGCAACATCAAGTCTTGCTCAGGTCCTTCCCTGTCGGTTGTGTCCTCGTGTACCGGTACACAAAGGAAGGAAACATTAACGAACTGCGTCATAACTCCATGTATGGTTATGAAAACAAAAGGAATTCCCTCGTGTACCGGTACACCAGGACAGCCCCTCCCTGTCACTCTCTGGCTCAATTCATCTGTGCTTTAGTTGTCAACTTTGGAAAGAGCTTCCTTTCTAATGCATTTGACAATGTAGAGGTTGGAGTTGATGCTCCTAACATTGCTAATATGAAGGAATCCCTCGTTGCCTTAAGTCTCTGGTCTCAATGCATTTTTACAATGCCATACCCACATTTTGAGAATCGCATGAAATATGAATAGGTGGCTGGCTTTAAATTATTAGAAGTGAAATTACTGATACTTGAGGGTGTTTTTGATGTTTTTGTACTTGCTGAGACAAAGATAGATTGAACTTTCCCCAATTCACAGTTCTATACCAAAGGGTACAAGACATTCTGTAAAGATTGTAATCGATTTGGAGGAGGTCTTCTAGTTTAAATTGAAGAGGTCTGAATTAAAAAAGAATTAATCATCTGGAAGGCAATTACATCGAATCTATTGCTCTACTGGTACAGCCTAGGAGGTCATTAAAAGGGACACTGTTTCTGTGCACATAAAAGTCATCAAATGCAACTAAACATCTGTGGGAACCACAGTTTAACCCCATGCTATGTAATGCCTCTCGGTGTTACGACAATTAAGCGATCCTTGGTGATTTGTATTGTTACATCTTCCATCCAGACAAGGGATCTAGGGAGGGAGGAACCTTACAGGACCTAATGAATGAATACAACTTGACCAACTTGATTAGGGAGCCCACTAGAGTGACTGCAACATCTAATACTCTTATCAACATGATCGTGACAAATATATGTTGGTCTTTTTTAACATCTGGCACTTTTGATTTGAGCTTATGTGACCATCACCTGGTCTATGATGTCAGCAGGCCATACTGTCCCAGGACTTACCCTATAACCATCAAAAGACACACTTAACAATTACAATCCCAAGCAATTTCACAATGATTTGCACTCGACTCCATTTGATGTTGCATATGTATTTGAGGACAGTGATTGCAAAAATTGATGAAGTAAGAGGCACTACAGTGCTTGGCATTAAAGGAGAAAGTGTGTTTTGTTAGGTGGTTCACATTCCAGACAATTTAACTATTGGCTGGATGTATTGTGTTTGCAAAGAACCCATGAGAAGACAGCTATTCAAACAATGGTTTGATCCTCAGTATGCTACAGATTCATAAAGTTCACTAGGAAGTTTGCCCTCTTTGCTGGACTGTCATGTCTTTAATATGCCATGCTTTGTGATAAATTTTGTGTAGACCACTTTTATCACTTAGCACTTCTTTCAACTGCTCTTCATTTCCTCTATTCAGTTCCCATTTCTAAGAAAACTTGTGTAGAGAAGGTTCAAGTTTTATTTGAAAACTTTGTTAGAATTTTACCCAGTCTTTATAATATTGAAGTGTATTCGTACAACTCCCATGCTTTACTCCACTTCCCTTCCCAAGTTCTTGACCATGGTTTCTAGCACTTACTTCTGCTTTTGTATCTGAAGCATTCATCACTCGAGTTACCGTAAAGACTTGCAAATAAGCTGCACCTTTTTTCCAAAAATTTGCGATCAAAATTGTAGGTGTGGCTTATCTGCTAGACCATTTGGTCTTGTTGTAAGCAATGCATACCGGAAGTTAGAGTATGTTCTTGATTTTGTAAACAAATTACATGTAATAAATTTGTTTTCTATTTAAAAGACCTTGTTTCAAGTCTGTCTATTACTGGTAAAGAAATAAATTCCCTGTTACATTTAGCAATGTTTGGGCAACTTATCTCACAATATTTTCCACGGTTTAAAGACAGGTTTAAAGGCAGGTTTATGTTCTACATAACTACCCTTCGCATTCTCTAATTAGGGAGAAATAAGCACATGCCAACAACTGAAATGTTGTCATTTGTGTATATTTACAGTATTTCTAAAGAAGAAATAAAGTATAAAATTGTGATTGCAGTCATTTCAGTTAATTAGTTTACTCAATCTAGTAAGTACATAATAAACTCTTGGGTATGCTAGTTCCAAAGAGATGTGGTTGTCATAAAACTTTTCCAGTTTTGGGACTATGTCAGAGAGGAATTTCTTATCCTTCCTCACATGTAAAATAATTAAATTAACAGTGTCAGAGAGTACCAGATCAGTCCAGGATGATTTGGTGCAAAGCATCAGCTGTTGGACTTGGTAATAGAACTTATGATTCCTGTTAATCACCAACCCATGACAAGTGTCTCTACATATACGACGTTTACACACTGCCTTCTTTAGAGATAGGCCATCTGTGAAGATTATTTTCATCTCCACTAGTCCCCCATCTACCTCCCCATCTAGAGAGGCCCCAAGGAAAGGATGACTCTGAGATATAACAAAACCTGTTTCACTGACTTTGCAATCCAGTTTGTTTTCATACTCCAATATGATCTTCTTTTCATCTTTCAGTCCCTGTTTCATTTTATTACTTTGGTATTGATTGTCATAGTGCAAGATTTCCTTCATAGCTTTTGTTGGGCTAGTAGAAGGCTTTATTAATGCTCGTTTGCTCTGAGAGGCTGTAATACGAACACGTCTGTGTTCAAACCATGCCTGACAGTTACTTTGAGCTTTTGTGGCAAGTGCAATGTTCTGTCTCTCTTGATCACTAACCATGAGATTTCTCTTAATTCTTTTCGCCAGGTCAAAAATATCAGTGAGTGAGACTGGGTGCTCTTTAATTGGAGAAATGATGTCATTTTTATTTTGGTCAAGTTCCTCATCTGACAGTAGACAAAAGAAACCACAATTTGGTTTCAATCTTTTTATTTTATCAAGCAGTTCTCTGTTGACATTTTTCGGATCATTGTTCCTTTCAGATGGACGTCTTGGATCATTCAAAGGCTTAGCATTGTTCCTTTCTTCTCTTCTATAAATGTTTTTTGAGAAATCAATTTCATAAACGGACTGAGAGTCAAGCTTTCTCTTTCTCGGCTGGTTCCAAGTTTGCAGTCTTGAGGTACATGTTTCAAATTCCCATGTGCACTTAAGTCTCACAAATTCTTCAAGAGCATAACAAAGAGCGGCTATGTGTTTACAAGAGCCACATGGACCTTTACCAGCTGGGCAGGCACAGCTAGCAAACGTGATTTTACCTTCCTGTTCACCGTTATTACACAGTGACAGTTTTATGTTATACTTCAAGTTTTTCTTCATTTCAGGTAAGCAATCACATCGGAAGTGTACCTTGTCGTCGTCGTCGTCGTCCCGTGCAATTTCCAGTTTTTGGATATGACCATGTCGAAACAAACTGAAAGCTTTGCTGCTGACATTCTTGAAATCTTTGTTGGATTCATTGTCTTTAGCTTTTCTTTCAATAAAGTAAGACACGATATTCTGAATATTAAATGAAGGGACATCGTCCTTTGTGTCAACCAGCGAAACCCATTGTGCAGATCCAGGGAAATCACAATTGACGGTCGCCGTTTGCTCCAGTGGTTTACTTACCGCCAAGTGTTGCCACTTCTCCGTAAAATTATTCTCCCAACCATTTTTTATATAACTGATGACCCTGTGGCAGGTAAAACAAATCGATATAGAACTTATGCTTCGATATTCCCTTCAAGCAATGGCAATAATTATAAGGGACAAAAAATATTGCAATCTGTGTACCTTTGAGATAACTCAGCCTTCGTTGCTTCAGACCGTGCACTACCATCTTTAGCTGTCCCTTTGCGGAATGACAACCATTCTTTGAGTCTTTCTTTAGTAATATGCTGTGGGCAATTACCACTTATCAACTGCACTTTCTCCTCAGCGGAAAAAAAGGCCGCTTGTGGAAGATTTGTGGAACACTCCATAAGTTTTCCTCACTTTCTCACACAAATCTGATCAATGTTGACCCGATAGCCTCGCTTTGATGTTTACTCACAAGAATACCGCTAGATTGTTTGGGTGGCGTGCTCAACTCCGATAAGAGCTATTGCCACATTTTTCCACTCTGCTTCCGGTGTCCAGTCTTCCATCGTCCGATACTATGCCTGGTTACACAGCTTCGCACAGTGCATGCAAGAAAACAACAAATTTACGCGCAAACTTCTATGGAAAAACTACCTTGAATGGAGAAATATCTGTGAACAAATTCCAGAATGATATCAATCATATGTCATAAGTGGTGGACATGATGTGTATTCTACTAAAGAGCTAAAATTACGGGTAAGACTTTAAAGTATTTTTCGATCCATTGTTGGCGAGTTTGCCTTGGATGAAGACAGAACACTTCATAGTCTCGACTTTGGATTTCTTTCGAGTTTTTTTCATTAAAAACTTTTTTTTCCAAAATTTGAGTTGCTAGTGCGGCTTATCTGCTAGGCTTTACGTTACTCTGGTACATGGAGACTCCCTCATAGATTGGTGGAAAAACTAAGAGCAAGCCAAACCTAAAAGGTGCATGTTTCACAGAAATGTAAATCCACACCCAGTGCTGCTAGGTTTGTAAAACATCTGCTTGGTGAAAGGTCAGGTGTTGAGTATACAGAAGTGGGAATCCTGCCTCGTGAGACCTGTGCACTTCAAGTAGCTGACACAGTTTCCAAAATGTCTTTATTGCCACATTGGAATGTAGTCCTGACCATGTCACCTTCCACAGCATGATATATCCTAGAACAGGAAATTCTTGCAGCTACCTTGTCCAGATATACACACATAGGAGGTAATGCTATGGTAGAGTGGTTCGTTACATCCTCTTCCAGAATGTGCCTGCGTATGTTTGCCAAGTCCTTCCTTCACCACAGGATGGAGTCCTGAAGGAAATTTTTCATTGCAACTTAATTGGACACCATTTTCTCCAGGTCCATGAAAGCAAAAAGTCTCTTCCTAATGAAATGTAGTGACCTTATCAGTAGTTGTCTTTATGTTTAAGGCAAGGTTTCATCAGCTTTCTAGACACTCCCTATGAACATGAACACACTCAGTGTTATGAAGCACTCGTAAAGTTTAGAAAGCAAAAAAGATGTGTAAGAGTTGCTATTAACCAAGCCACGAGCCAAAAGCAACAAATGACCAATCCAAAATGAGATGATTTCTTTTTTCTCTACTATATTATATTTTTATAGATCTCCACATATATCCCTTTCCCATCCAAGGGTGACAGTGTGTAATACTACCCCATCTGCCCGAAACAAGGGAACCAAAATCAACATAAAGTAACACCACTTCAAATTTTAATCAATATATCAAAAACTACTCATTTATTCAAGAAACAATAGAAAGAAACTTTGTTCCTAAGATAATAAACTTTCCATTGGTGCCAAAAATATTTCCTTTTGTGCATGCATTCAGCAAATATCAAGAGCTCAAATTAAGTGAATAGAAATCTCAACAAAAACCATCCATGTTGCTCATGAACTCACAGAAAATAGTTACATTTCAGGACAAACTACATCTAATTACTCTATTGAATGAAGAAAATAAGTGATAAAGAATTATTAGTGCTATTTTGGACCAACTCGGTGGTCAATTCTTCAAAAAATCATTACAAAAAATCAAAATTTTTACAAGCTCAAGTTTTCGAATTTCGCACCAATGTTCAAGCGAGATCGTCCACGGTATGGTTCTTAAAACAGTCTAAACAAATGCATTTGCCGCTAAGTTCACATGCCATTCAGCACCATGTTTCCTTGTTTCGCTTTAAACAGCGCTTACAGTGACCTTTGGAGAACTTGATGGGCCAATGCCCTCCTTCTAGGCGCCCAGAACTTGCAGACAATCACTATGCCGAAAAATTTCCGATCAGTAACTTCACAAGATCTAAACGAAAGGCCAGTTGGGTTCTTGATCGGTGATGCAGGGACAGTTTCTCCAAAATATAAGCATTTACAATGGCAACATCCACAAAGAACCACACGAGACAATGCCACCACTTTTTCGATTTTCTTCCAGCCATGTAGTAGCCCTGCATTTGATCGCTCAAGTCTACACCACCCATGTTGTTGTTGTATGTCTTCATGACTGGGGTGCTGGGAACTTGAATGACCGTTCCATTGCATTGTGGTCTACCGACAGTGTCGTTCCCCATGGGATTGGACTGAGAGCTCAAAAATATACTGGCTTCTTATCTTTCCATACAGTAATGACAATGTTCTCTTTGCGAAGGAATGACGACTCTCCTCAACGAAGTCGCTGGACTCTGAGTCGAAGGGGCGATTGCACGCGGGATGCCTTGTCGATTTCCATGGACGGTTCCGCAGATATAAATTTGATCTCGAAACAAATCTTCCACGAGAGCAAGAGAATTGAAAAAATTATCGACAAAAACATGGTGATTTTTGCCTACCAAGGGTCGAGTAAGATTGCGGACAGCGCGGTGTCCAAGTCCTTGTTCAGGATTACCATTGCGTTGTTTTCCTGTGTAGACCTCCAAATCGCAAACGAAGCCATTCGATGAATCTGCACACTCCCACACTTTGATTCCCCTCTTCACCGGTTTTAAGGGCATGTGCTGTTTAAGGGAAAGTCTTCCTTTAAAAGGAATCATTGCCTCGTCGATTGAAACATTTTTCGACGGCCTGTACTCGCTTTTAATAATCTCTACAACAGAATCGAGAAGAGGTCACACTTTGAACAATTTGTCATGGTTTGCGTGCCCACGTGGCAATTCTCTTCTCTTATTGTTTAGATATTGCAATATTTTGGCAAAACGATTCCTCAGAAAAATCTTTTGCACTTTTGGGACTCCAAGAAGCTGATTTTTGGACCAGTATGAGTAGCTTCGGGCAATTGTTTAATCCCAAACAGGATATTCAGTGCGAAGAATGCCTTCACTTCTTGGGCATCGGTTTCACACCAAGCAGGGTCCGGTTTTGTGTCCATCACTTGCCGCGCAAAAATTGCTGTCCTTAAACATTAGATTAAAAAAGTTTATGGTTGAATAACCTCAAACGTCCCTGACCAGGCAGGTATTCGTGACGAACGGATTCACAACAACTGGACCGGGATTGTCGTTCCACTCTTGTTCATCTTCTTCGCCACTTTCCTGATAGCTAAGATCGAGATCTGACAAATCCTCCATGTCAACTGACGAAACAGAAATGTCAGATTCTAACTCGGGATTATTTCTGTCAAACCCCAGTTCAATAGTGAAGCCAATGAACTCTTCCTCGCTATCTGAATCGAAAAGCGCCACCATTTTAAAACTTCTCAAACAAATTTCAACTTGCAATTTCTCAATAAATTCATATGAACACCAACCCCTGAAGGTTGGCTTGAACTGAGCTTCTACTCTAACCCTATTCGTTAAAACACAATAGGCTAGAGGAAACAATGAAAATAAGCATTTTTTATCGGTAAGAATTTACTATTATGCTAAGTGCCATATGACATGATCGGATGGGAAAGGGATATATATATATATATATATATACATAAGTGAAAGAATCAAAGAGGATGCATTGACTCTCTGTTACTCAGAGTTTCACGCCTAAGCGCTCGTCAGACAGCGAGTGTTGGGTTTGCTTGTGACAACAAATATTTAAAGAGACAAATATTGTTCAATGATTCTATTTTCTTTAACTCTGACCTTGTGGTCCGATCTTTCCCCCCCTCCCCCCGATGGTCACGTAATTAAAAGAAGAAAATCATGTATTTATACATATATATATTTATTATATACTCAACAAAATATCGTGTTTCTGATTGGTCAATGATGAATGCATAAATAGGTTATAGAGTGCAATAGAGGTTATAGAGTGTAATACGGAGAAGTTGCCATGGAAACACTGGGGAAGCGCCAAATTTGAACACCAAATTATAAAAAAATGGCTGACAGCCGGTTTGCTTTGTCAAACCAAAACATTGTTGAGCAACTTAAAGAAAATGCGAAAAACAAAAACACGTTGACAGCTACACAGACCTGGTTAAATGTCTGGCAAAAAGTAAACCCAAAAATGGAAGAATACTAGCATGAACAACTCAATAAAATGTTGCAAATCTTCTACACAGAAATACGCACAAAAGATGGGTGTGAGTACGAACCTGAGAGTTTAAAATCCATGCTGGCAGCCCTCGACTGCTATTTAAAAGAGCATGACTACAAGTACTCTATTATACGAGACCGAGAGTTTCACCAGTCGAAGTTGGTACTTGAAGGAAAAGTGAAGTGTCTCCGTCAACAAGGAAAAGGCAAAAGACCCAATGCCGCGAACGCACTGACAGCCAAAGAAAAAATGCTATGGAGTGAACAAAGTCTCGGCGACTGCAGTCCAAGAGTTCTTTCCCAGACAATGTGGTGGATCTTGACTCAAATTTTGGCCTGAGGGGAAGACAGGAACACCATTCAATGGAAGTCGAGGACTTCAGTTTTTGTGTGGACGACAGCGGCACAGAGTACGTCACATTTAAAGAAAATCCTACAAAAACGAGGCAGGGAGGACTGAACACAAAACATCGTAGTGTTCTGCCAAAAATGTTTGCTACTGGCGGTCAGAGATGTCCTGTTGAGTTTCTGAAGCAATACCTTAGTAGGCGTCCTCAAGAAACACAATTTAGCAAAGCTCCTTGGTTGTTCAAAAATGTGTGTCTGAGTTCTAGCAGGATTATTCTTGGGAAATGTGTAAAAACTCACTGGATGTTATTAGTTGTTAGTCATGAGCATACTAGTAGTCACACTTATTTTAATTATTACACCAAGCAAGTTAAACAAGTTTTTAACGATTGAATTTTAGCTCGTTTTGATGTTAAACAGACCCAATTGAGTTGTGTTGGGTGCCTGAAGATATTGCCAGCTATGTCACTGGCAAACATAGTTCAGTCAGGATGTTGGCCAGGGAACCCAGCTAGTTATTCTTTTACTTGTACATACATTTTTGACCAACAACTGTTTTTACAGAGGCACAACTTGCAGATGCGATGTTAGAAAGGTCTTTTATAGCTGCTCTTGATGGCAGAGTAGGTATCTTTAATAGATGTATTTTGGGGTTTTTTTTCACAAAGGTAATATCACTTCTCTCTTCTATAGATAAAGGTCATATAAAAATGTTTTTTTTGCTATTGTGATGGTATTAAAGTTATATACATGTACAAGTTAGTATATGAATGTCGTCACATACATGCTGGTTAATTATCATTTATTACAATGAAATGGTCATTTATAATTTAGGCACTAGTGCTAATAATAATAATTTTATGTTTGGTGGAGTAGTGAGAATGTGACATCTCGGTCTTTAAGATTGTATTTAGAAAGTATTACAATTTGCATGTAATAATGAATTGATTTGTAATTATAGTACTAATAGTTATGAAAAGTCTGATCAAGTAAAGAAGAATTAGAAAGAATGTTTGTTTCTGCTTAGGTTTCCAACAGAAATACCTCCATCTTTTCATGTACCTATAAGGAATGGAAATTCTGCCAATATGAATTACACCTTTTCACAGGCCTCACCTGGATGCATTGTCCCTCATGTTCCATCTCCAAACACTCATGTCATGTGGATGGGAACATGAAGCTTTACCATTACAAATCATCAGGGCTGTATGTCTACAACATATACAAATATGTATTTACATAATAACAGTGCATTCCCATTTTTTTCAAATACACCATAATAATGGTTGTTGCTATTTTTTCAAATATCTTCAAAACTCAAATCAGAAACTCTGCCTTTACTGTACTACAAAGGCAGGCCCAAGTTGTTTAAAACCTGGTTAGCTACAATCTTGAATTAACCGCACTGTATAGAACATATGTGTTGCCATTACAAATACCTACATTTTCAAGTTGATTCATAAATGGACACGAGTTCAAATAATAATGATATTAATAACTACCCAATGAAAATATCTTTATTCACTTAACAAATGCATATTGAACTTTACATAACATGAATATGATTAACTTATAAAAAGCACTTTCAGTTAAAATTTTTCATAATGGTAAATTGTATTTGAAATAAAGCCTATTTAAAAAATTACATTAATTTGTACTGTCCAGTATTTAGGCAGTTGACCAATGCTTTGTCGTAATGGAAGAGAGGCCATTTTAAGTGGGTTACAATGGGTGGAAACTGTTTCCATTAGTTTTCCTCACAATTTTCTTTTCAGTAAACTGATATATCTCTTTTTCATCACTTTATTAGGCAAAAAAGGCCCTCTTATCATGAAGAGGTATTTATTGCTGACAGGGGCAAGATTAACAACCAAATAAAGCTTATTCCAAAAATGCACCACCCAAGGTAGTAAATTGCTCATAACTACTGTATAAATATGAATAATTGGGTCATAGAGGAAAACCAAAACTTTCAGTGTATTTCACTTGGTTACTGTTCATGATATTTAGCTGCAATGTTTGCTAATCTCTAATTTGCTGATATTTCAAAGTTTTGCTCCTTCATGTACACTGTACACTTTAACACTTATCTGTCATCATGTCATCGAGCTGGTTACTCGATGACACCCCCTGCATGCGGTTCTCTGCAGTCAACAGGTTAATACCCTTGTCAGTGGCATTGCTGACAAGGGGGGGACTGGGAAACCATAACAACCTGATCAGTTAAAATAATTCCCTGAATTACCTGCATTTTTGTTTCATTCCTTTCCTTTCAATATCAAGAGAGACACTTACCGATATGGCCAAATGTATTATTTTAAGAATAGCCTAGTTGGCTCTGTTAAACAAATTTGGAATCAGATGTATTTATTTAAAGGTGTTTTTAGTATTTACTGTTGATAATGAAATGTTAGTAAACCTTAAGATTTGACAAGAAGTACAAGCAATAGTACCAGTTATGCTAGTCTGACATGTCCTAGGACTCTCACTCTTTCCTGGTGCTATTCAGCACATAGACTTCACAAGTTTTAAGTTGTGTGACAAGAGACCATCCACACTCAAACTTGGTTTGAAAGCTCTTACTCTGTCTCTTACTTAAAGTCCTTTCTAAAGTTCCCAAATGACAATGACTTCAGTGCTTGGATCCTAAATAGACAAGTTGGGCTGAACAATTTGAGGTTGGCTGATACCCCTGAGCATTTTATTAAAACGATTTTCTCATAAGAATGACCAAACGCGTGGTTCTGGCCCAAAAAAGTCGGCCTACTGTGGGATGCTGGGAGTAAGTTTATTAATTGGACTTTCAAAAACCTTGGGCACTAATCATGAAGAGTACTTTTTTAATATGATCACATATTTGGCCTAATTTGAAGTTGTTTATTCCACCTTTAAGAAGAAACATTTTGTATATCTCATTGGACAACACTTTGTTTTTAATATTTCTTAACCATCTTGATATTTCCAATCATCTTAAATCTAATTTTGAATCATGTTTCAAAAAATAATTAAAACCCAAATTTTCAGGTGGCAAGTAACCAGTACTATATTGGAATTGTATCGTCTCTCAGCAATAACAGACAGACCAGTCATTCCTGTCGAACTTCTGACTAAGTCAAGATGACATCAGCATCTCATGGCAAAAGAGTTTGTAGTTGACCCTAAATGACTACCCTACCTTGCATACCAGCAATTCTTCACGGGTGGACTGTAATTCTCGCACACACTTCAAAAGTACATTATTTCTTGGGGAAAACATCTTTGTCATCCCAATATGGTGGAATAGTGGCCAAAATGTCGAGTTGGACCAAAATGCAAGAATTATATGAAAATGAGAGGAGTTTACCCATGATGGTTTGCTAAAAGTAAAGATTTGGACTGCATCGGCTAAAGCTCGGAATGGTGGCCAGAATGTCATTGCCCAGAATGCCGCAACACATCCGGGACCTTTTGCATAGCCAATAGCGCTAAATTTGAATTCTCGTAATTGAAAACACGCAAAACAATAAAGAAAATTGCCGAAAACGGCCCAATGCCTAGTGTGTTTTACCAATTTTTGCACAACTCAGCCCACTTAGCAATAAGGTACCCTCTGGCTTTTGTAGAGGAGGTGTTTAGCTTTTATTTAAGACACTCATCCAAGTTGTTGGTCTTTGATAAGTTTAATTGAATTGATCTTGAAAATGCAGCCGTTTTGCTTTGCATTCGTATGGGAATATGAACTGATTAGTATCCAGTTTGTTTTTTTTTTCCTCCACAAAAGTACTTCGTGAGTTAGGTACCCTCTGGTAAAGTAAGTTTGATATCTCAGCTGAGATTTTGTGGAATTTCGCGTTAATACGATGGCCACAAGTGTTATCAAAAGGATCATCTCCGAAAGCTATACTGAAATGTCCTAACACCCCTCTAAAGTTGTTCCCTTTGGACTCCCAAGAGAGTTTTTGCCTCGCCTCTGTAGACAATTGGACACACTTTTGCCTAATGAAGCATTATTAAGAAGCTGTGTTATGTCACACATGTGCGCCAAATTTAAATTGAAAAGAGTTGTAAACATCTCTGTTAACACACCATACCATCAGAACACAATTGTGTTTTGTACCATCCGGATATCAAAATGTTTTCCGTGCAAGAAATGCAGCGTGTTGATCAGGAGCTCTATTTAGAGCTCACAGAGTCCCTGATCAACCGTGCCTTCATTCATATGTCTGCACCTTTAGTAAATGGCTATGATCCACTATTCTATCTACAAATTAACAGCAAAGCTCTTTGGAAATGGCATGAATTTAAAATGGACTTGACTTCAATCTTCCATGCCCTTCAAGATGGTTTAGCCTCCATCCGTTATCAACTGAAATCGTCGAGCAAAGATTGTGTTGGGACTGCAGTAAAAGGAAGAGTTTACTGTGTAATAAGGAGGGTCACATCAGAAACAAATGGCGAAAAGCCCAAAATTTCCAAAGCCAGTATTGGGCTAAGATTGCTCTTCACCCAGACGAGGTTTTCCAAAGTCCCCAAGGCATCATCGAGGAGCTGAAGAAAGGAAAACAGGAGTTGGCAGAAGAATGTAAGAAGCTGAGAATTGAAGTTGAACGTGAGGAAACTTTAATCACTCCTAAAGGGTTCAACAAAGCTAATATCTCCTTTTTCGATTTGCCATAATAAATGATTAATCTGCAGTGGCCACTTTACCTAAAATTTATCAACTGTGCTCATCAGTTGTACATTTTCATATCTGTAGGTCAAAAAGAAGGGTGCTCCTGTGAGCAAATTGAAGATAAAGCTATCAGGAGATGGGACAAAAATATCTCACAGCAGCAATCTGTTTGTGTGCTCCTTCGCTATTTTAGAAGACTGTAAGAGTTGCTTCTTAAGTTCAGGTATGTATAACATAACAGTATAAAAAACAGCTCAGCAACAAAACATGGTTGGATAAACTAAAAACCACAAACGACATGTTCAATATGGTCTTATTTAGCACTGTTTTGTACAATTGGGCTTATAACATAACATCATTATTTTGAACTACAACATGGGTGACGATGGGATTGCAGTCATGAATTTATGTCAACACTTATCCACCACTTAACTACTCAAAAATGTTCTAAAAAAATGATGTTGAAATGCACAAGACAACTAAACACACATCACAGGTCACTCAAGGAAGCAGTAAACATGCTCAAAATAAAATCATAAAGAAGTTGACAAACCCCTATGCCAAAAGAGACACTTACTATTTAATTTATTGCTCTTGTTAGGTAATCACACAATTGCGATTGTTAAAGGCATAGAGGAGCATGGAACACTTGAAGAGTCCTTGGCAAAGGTCATAAAAGATGTAAACAGGCTAGCTGATGAAGGGCAAGTTATCATTAATGGAGAGAAGGTGGATTTGGAGTTTTACCGAGGAGGAGATTACAAGGCAATTGAACACTCAACATTTAACTTAATCAGCATTTTTCCTTGAAGAAAGTCCCTTGGTCACTGGTAATCACCCTTAACTAACAGCTCCATCTGGAGGAAAAATTCAAATTTATAAATTTTTAAATTTATAATTTTCTTGCCCCTATTGGATAACCTGAGATTTCTGTTTTTTACAGTTTCTACTTCTCGCAATGGAGATGAAGGGGGCGACTTCAAACTACAGCTGCATCTGGTGTACAATTCACAAGAGCGAAAGGTATTACATTAAGGATTAATGGAGGTCTTGGCAAGCATAATTTATCAGCCTCGAGGCTTCTGCTTGATTATTCTGGATATCACAAAAACCTTGTCCAATAATTGTTTAATTATCTCATGACTACTAAATACATTGAAGGCGCACAATCATAGATCTTACTTCATCAATTTGTGTCTAAATGTAACATGGCGTACTCCTTGTCTCATTTTCAAAAACCTGAACTGGCCAGGAGTATCAACCAGGACTGGCACAACAACCGGGATACCACTCTCAGCCCCTATTCAATATTCAACTTGAAAACATCTTAATTGATGAACTGCACCTGATACTCAGGGTTACCAACTGTTTTGAGGAGGGCTTAATCATGGACATTCTAAAATGGGATGAGGTAGGCATTGTTGGGATAAAATGTTAGTGAAGAAATAAAATAATATTACTATTAGATTATTGACCAAGCATGAGGCCTGGACAGGGGGCATTGTGATTTTTCCCTTGTTTGTCATATAATAAAACTGAGAAGAAGAAGCAGTTACTATATGGTTTGAAATATTATTTTCAGGTAGGATGACAACCAATCCAGCCAACAAAAGTCTACAGTTCACCTGGACATGTTTCTGTCTACAGTGTGGTCACTGGGGGTCTCTTTCAATGTGTACAAAGTTGGAGACAAGATAGAGTGGACACCACTACTGGGGGGGGGGGTGAAAAGAGACTTCCACTTTGGAAATTACCAGTGAGAACTGTTTGAGAAGTTTCTTCCACAATCCAAAGTTGAAAAGACAGAGTCTTTGGATTGTAAGTATTACCTCAAATAAATCAATTGAACAATTACAAAGATAATGATTCATACAACATATAAAACTTCAAAAATCATTTGACTTGTTATCCAATAATCTCAGGAAGTAATTTACAACCACTTTTTTGTTTAAACAGAATTTCAGAGATATCCTATTACCACATTGTTTGAAATACATTTCATAATTATTTGCTCATTTTATATTTAAATCAAACTGTTCTATAATCTCTGAAAAGTAACTCTATTGTGTTTTCACTCATTCAACAGAATTTCAGGGAGCTTCTTGATGACATGACCCGTGAGACTTTTCATGTGAATGATGGTGCAAAGAAATTTGAAGAAAAGGTAAGAAGTACTCTCTGATATTTTGGTGGGGTTTCAACAGTTGTCTTGTATTTGGGGTAGATAACAGGATTCAAACACTTTACCACGATGAACATACAGAAATGTGATGTTGAAGAGATTTAGTAAAGTAATCTTGAGCAAGGCTATGAAAAGCTTTAACTATACACACATAAACATTTGCTTGTATAAAGAGAAAAACAAATAGCAAACACCTCCGATTGCTTTGTTTTGATCTAGGCACTCCGCTGGGGTAAGCAGATAGTCCAAATGTCTGGAAGTGGTCCAGGATATATGCAAACCATCAAAGCAACACCATACATGCATATATTAATATATCATGTGACATGTCTGCTATGAAAGCATGGAAGTCTGAAGCAATTTAGCAGACAAGGTATAACAAACTTATTGCTTGTTGATGGAGATGACAAAGTCTTCATGTAATTTATAACATCGATTATAGGATAAAGATTGTAGGGAAAGTTCAACAAATATTTCATTCTGCAGAGGAAAAACTAATACGGATCCCTGTTATTCTTATTTTTCAGGTGTTGAGAAGAAAAACGAGGACCTTTGGAGGTACTTCCAATGGAAGATAAACCACTGGGATGCAGCAACACATCTGCTCCTTGTAGAAGAGCGACAAGAAGAGCTGAGGGGACAGGAGCACAAGAAGCGAACTTACACAAAGCAAAAAAACCTTGTTTTGGCTGGAGGGAGGGAAGCAAGAGTCAGCTAAAAAGGTTGTAAGGATTTCAACCATACCTCAAACATCAAGTTTAATTGCTGAACCTCAACCACTCAACCTAAGTGCGCTAAAAAAGATAAAGACTACTAAAATTCTTGTTTTAGTCAATGAGACAACTGGCAGGCACATCAATGCAAGAACAAGGGAACAAGTCCTGCTAGATGCTCTGCTCAGTCCAAGGTCTGAGTAACCCTGGGTCAATCTGACTCAACCAACAAAAATGGCTCCTTTAGGAGCCACCAAATATCTGAAAGCAATGACCAATGAATGAGCCTGTGTTTATACCATTGGCCTCTCCTGAGTTTCTGTCCAAGCTTAACATAATGGGTGGTGGGTGAAGCACCCCTATAACAAAAATATTTTATTCCCTTTTCTCTTGACTCCAGTTTTTTAGTTAGCAAAAAGGTACCATGTAAATTGACGAGAATCCAAGTTATCTTAAGCCCGGATTCAAATGTAAAACACCCAATCACCATCCTTAACAAGTATTAAAAAGCATTTTATTTCACAACAGAAAACAAAATTAGAATTTAAATACTTAGATGGGCTTGTAGGGCATTCCTGAGTTGATAGGCTTTATCACCATTACTATAAGACATACCTTTTTTCCAGGGTCTTTCCAGACGTTGAGAACGTCCACGTTTCAATTGCCGTCGCCGCCATCTTCCTTCTGATGTAAAATGACTGCGTGCAGACAATCTTAGCAAACAACCGCTTAGTGGAAGTATTGTTGTTAGTCTTCGTAAGCTCGGAGCCTCCGAATCCCTTTGTTTCACGTGTTGTGTGAGAGCTGTGAGACATGTCATCTCAAGATCAGTTAATAACGGTAAAAAATTTTTCCTAATTTGGACTCTTAGCATCTAGGCCACATTCTTGAGCTCAGCTTCAAACATAGAATAGTTTTTCAAGATCACCAAATATTTCATTTTGCAGCTCACTTTCACTGACGGCCAAGTTACAAACTTTTTGGAGGAGCTGGGCGCGTACCTGGAAGGGCACTTGGCCCAGTCAGGTGATGTAAGTAAAATTTATTCGTATCTATTTTAATAAATATGAATAACAAATCATTATTTTCATAGCAATTTCTCAAACAGAGAAATCTCCTTACGTTGCATTTTGAAACTCGCAAATGGCGTGAATTTGGACTATATCTTCTTAATCTCCCCTAATTTTAGGTTGCCCAAAAATGGATCCCCTGAGAGATGGTTAGTATCTTCTGAATTCATTTTATGCTCTTCAAAGAGAAAAAATTGAAGTTTCTTGTTCTAGTGGTCATTTCTGGAACTGTCAACTTTAAACAGGGACTTTATGGTGTTGCTGGCACTCCAGTTTGTGGCCTTTCAGCCAGCCATTCAGGAAATTCTGGAGAACCATAATACCGGTAAATGACTATTTTGTGTTAAGTATTTGTAAAAAATGTATTTCATGCAAAATGAACAATAGTACTAGTTGCAACTTTCCGTCAATCTCCGCGGCCCTCTCTAGTCTGTAATTGAGCCCAAGGTTGCAGCATGATGTTAGTAACTTTTAATTGGGTCTAATTTCAGACAAATCTGCCTGCAACATCAGAATAATTTATTCGGAGAAAACAATTGGACTGTTAAGAATTAAAACGGATGTATTTTTTTCCGTAGGTTCACAGACATAGTGTCATCGAGGGACCATTTGGTGGCTTCTAAAGAAGCCACTTTCATAAAAACAGCATTTGGCTCACTAGATGCATCTGGCGAAATAACTCTTCATAAACTTGACCTGAACTTTCTCTACCAGGTGGGGAGCTGTTTTTTCCGCCTTGTTCATCTACGAAGGAAAGCGACTTGCCAAGAAGCACCTTCAAGTTGACTGGAGCGTCAATGCAACATCTGCTGCCTGTTACTGTTACATTGCGCAGTGAGGTTTCTGCTTCTCAAATACAGAGAGACCCAGTCGGATTGGTCTGTGAAATGTGGAATATCTCAGGACATAAGTGTTGTTGCCAGAAAAATGAATGGGGTATTTGAAACTCAGACCTTTGTCCACATAGTAGACAATACATCACAGAAGTGAAAAATTTGTTTATACCAACAGCAAATACTTGCAGTAATTCCTTAATTATACCTCATGCAACATCTTGTACTCCTCTCCCAGAAACAAATCAGCTGTCTGTGTTTTATAACTATGCATTTAATAATGCATTTTTTGGTAACATTTAGAGGTTAGACTAAAGTTCACAACTTCAAAATATTGATGTTTTGAAGGAAGTCCAATCAGTAATTTATTCCGGTCTAAACCTTACCAAATTAAATCATGTTACTGTCTATATTTTTAGCTTCTTGCATTATAGCCCCATTTCAATATTATAGCACCCTCAGCACAAGGCTCAAGGTTTGTAAACTATAGAGTTTTGGGGTACACAGAAATTTAAAATATCCAAATTGGGCAATTACTTGATAGAAATATCAGTATGTCACTGGAAATCAGAATTCAAATGCCTGTTGAATTCCATCAATCAGACAGTCAATGAAATATTTCTGTCCTCCATAATTTACCAAGTTAGCTATAGTTATTGCTACTGTTTCATCTCAAAACTGTGTCACCATGGCTCTGTTTTCATTAAGACAAATGTTAGTTCGATGAAGTCAGAAAAGTCCAGAAATAGTGTGAAAACACTTTGCCTTGTGTTTAGTGAGCTAACAATGCCAACTTTTTTCACAAGGAAAAACAATGGGTTTTCTCACCTTTACAACTGGAAACTCACACAGAGTTATACTACCTCGTAAGATGGTTTAACTTGTCCCAACAAATACCACAGCCAATCACATCTCATATAGTGACAGATGCCTACCAAACAATCTGGCTAAATTATTTTCCAGATGCTCGCCTCGTGGTTCTTTCGTAACAAACCTTGTATGCTCATAAACATGGCTGATGAATTGCAAAACACTTCCCAATTCTTTTGCCGTTTTACAGTTCCTTCAAACCCATTGGATGCTCTGGTCCCTTGTCCAGGGCCTTACCTGTTTTACAGCATTGGCATGAAGAATCAATTCCCGCATTATAGGCAACCAGTAGTTCTTCCACACCAAGTTCCTATGCCACATGCGTCACCCTCGATGAGCTCACTCCCAAGCAGCAAAAGCAAAAGCACAACGAATGAAGAAAATCCACAGCCAGGAGCTACAAAGAGGAACCATGGCTCCAACTGGACAGACATGGAGACAAGGTATTTACTTGAATTGTGGAGGGACAATTTCCCAATCAGCAAGAAAAGAAACAGCACTGAGTGGGACGCCATTGCAAAGAAGCTCAATTCCACTTTTAAAGACCAGGGAATACCATGCTACTGCACTGGTACGCAGTGTAAGGCGTGCATTAAATACCTTCAGGACCAGTACAAATGAGTAAAGGACCACAATTCCCAAAGTGGCAACAACTGAGAATGGTTTGAATACTACGATGAGATCTATGAAGTTTTGGGATCCAAGCCAAACATCACACCAAAAGAAGTTGTCAAATGCAGTTTGGCTGAAGATGCCGACACAACTACAGTTGGTGACTCTGACACTTTACCTGAATGAAATATTCCAGCAGATTACAAAAGCAATGCAGACCTAGAACAGGAGTTCAAAAAGAACTTAAAAGGAAACCCAAAACGTACCCAAAAAAGGAGCAAAGGAAAAGCGCCTGCTGTAAAGAAAGCGAAGGCTGCCTCAGCTGAGTCAAACAGCAATCTTGTGGAATTTTTACAAGAGAGTAAAAGTAGACTACAAGCTTTTCAAGTGCCTTGCCAACAAGGAGGCAGAGAGAGATCTTTTAAGTCAAAACTTATGTTTGATGCTATAAAAGAAATAGTGAAAATTTTTAAAGGAGACAGTTAAAGAGAACAGCCGACTTTCAGTCACAAGTTTTTGTACATCAAGTACCAAGATTTTTAACTTTTATTATTGTTACTGTTGAACTTGTTTGAAGTGAACATCAAGTACATAGATTTTTTATTATTGTTACTGTTAAACTTGTTTGAAGTGAAAATCAAGCAAGTACATAGATTTCTTATTTGATGTGAACATCAAGTACATGGATGTTTTATTGTTGTCACTGTTGAACTTGTTTGAAGTGAACTTTTTCTATCAAGTGTTGTTAACCCATTTTCCAATTTTGTCTCAATTATAAAATAGTAAAACCTCAAAATTTAATACTTGTTTACAATGAATTCAGAACCTGAGGAAAGACAATTATTTGCTTACAACATTAACCACAAATGCAAAAAAATTAAATGAAAATGAAATATTTTTCTACCAAATCAGTGCTCCTGCATCTTGCCTCAATCATGTTAATAAACTTTTCAATTTAATTCGAAATTTTCATATATACCATTTTTTTATTATTACATACATGTTTATAATAAAATGAGAAGTACCAGAACGACAATTTGTTTTGCTTAAAATATGAGAAATGAAAATGAACTAATCTTTGAAGAAAAAATGTCATAAAATAAAGCTTCAGTACAAATTGTCTTTTATGATTACATGAAGCTAATAGGATTTATTACCTGAATGGGACCATATATCAAAATACTTTTATTACTTTACTCCCTTTAAAAGAGCTTGATATTTTCAATTTATTATGAATGAACAAAAAAGATTTCATTTTGATCACATGAAACTATTAGAATTTTAACCTGAATGGGGCTCTATATACAGCATATATCTTTACAACTTAATTCTATTAGTAAAAATTTAAAATGGGTTATCTTAATCTAGTCATGCAAAGAACACATGTACCTAATTGATTCTCCGATATCCTGCCATTAGAACCAAGATGTGAACCTGCCTATGACCTTCAGTTGTTGAGTTCTTACTAGCAAATGACGTGCCCTTGGTACTGCCATTTATGTGCACCAATGCACCCGGAGTAAGTGCATGAAGTTTTGTAAGAATGATTTTAGATAAGTTTGCCTGAATCATCCCCAGCTGAAGGTTACACCACAGTTCACTCTTGAAACGCTTGTCATATAAACTAATAGGTTGTGATGGTATTTTTTGAAGAGACAAATTTTGTACATTTGTCCAATTAAAAGCGATCACTTTGTCAGTAATCTCATTATTTAAAATTTTGACCCAGATGAGAAAGCATACTTGTAAGTATCGATCGGTTTAAATTTAGCTTTCCTTTCGTTTGTCATTCGGTTGTTATTTTGCTTTATTCAGCGGATTTATATATTTAATTTCAGTGAATCGTTGTTCATGTGATAAAAGAAGTTTGCAGTTCAGCGCATCTCAAGTTTACCTTGTTGCCACCTTCCAGTAGCGAACATTGGGTTCCTACACAGGCTCAACACTGAGTAAACCAACACTGACCTCAATTCATTTCAATGAGAGTGAGGAAAGATAATCATGTGCTTCTAGTTAAAAATTTACAAATAATGGCTGAGATGCGCAAGTTTTATAGTATCAGTGTATCCATCACTTTACTGGATAAAGTGCACACCGTTGGTTTACTTAAGAGCTTTGTAGGATATACATCGCCCAGAATTCAGCAACACATCCGGGACTTTCATTGAGACGCTGGCGCTAAATTTAAAAGCTAATTAGAGAATGATTGTCAAACAATAAAGGAAAAGGGCTGAAAATGTTGAGGAAGGCTTACGTTCTCTTCGTTTACGGATAAACTACTTTTCAAATGCTACTTTTACCATATGGCTTTTAAAGAAGAAAGTTCAATCGAACAGTGTATTGTAGCGCAAGCTATTCCCCAGGGGTCCCCCCTGAATTACCTTACCTTTGGGGTCACGTGACTCATCGGTAGACCATGTGTTAAAGCAATTTTAACACCATGTTTACTGTGATTTGTGGCGTTACAGTATCATTCTCACTTTATTCTTGCGCTTTCAGAAGAGGTCGCAAATTTGCCTTGAAAATTGACTATGTTAGCATCCTACTTGTATAAGAAGTCAATCTCAGCGCACTTTCAGGTGTAATTTATCTTCACTCAATTGCTAGATTTCTCTTTTATCATACGGTTATTTTTATTTGACATTCTAGAAAGTGTCATATAAATTTTCAAGGGATTCCAAACTTTGGAAGTAGTCGCAAAATATGAATTTCGAAAACGTTTGCTCAGCATCGTAGTGTTCTATCCAAATTTGTCCTTTGGGGACCCCCACGAGAATATCAAGGTATGCTAAGCTCCGCCTCCGCAAACAATCGCGCACACGCCGCCTAATTAGTATTGAAATTGAGGTGGTAACTAGACAATGCTTAAAAGATATGCTTTTAAGATATGATGATGCACACAGTCTAGTATACATATTATATATATAATGTGTAAAGATCCAGGCATTTTCAATTGCTTGATAAATTCAAGCTACAATAATAGACCTGTTACAAGTATGTAAAAACTTACTTATCATCTTGCTTGCCTGTGATCTCAGAATTTCAGAGAGCTGCTAGACATCTTAAACAAAGAGAATTTGACAGATGATGAAATTTCAGCATTTGAAACCAAGGTAAGATAACACAATACACATAAAAACATAAGACTGATCATATGTTAATATCATTATAGTAACAAGGTTTTTCATAAATATGTAACAAAAAAATTTGCTTACTCTTGTAGGCACAGAGTTGGGGAAAACAGATGGTGAAGATGTCTGGCACTGGTCCTGGGTATTCTCAGACCATAATCATCACCCCATATATGCACAGCTTCGTGTACCATGTCCCAGTAATGCTGCATAACCATGGAAGCCTTAAAATGTTTAGTGGCCAAGGTATGTATCTTCACTTTATTTTATAGACCCATTGTAACAATACTCAAGAAAAATTTATTATTTGGCATCGTTGGAAGTTGTAAGAAGCCAAACCTGCAATTAAGAAAAGTAGCATGACATTTAATAACAGGTGTTGAGAAGAAGAATGATGATTTGCGGTGCTATTTCCACCGTAAAATCAACAGATGGGATGCTGCAACAAACCTGCTGCTGGTGGAGAAAAGGCAAGAGGAGCTAAGAGAGGAAGAAAGAGCTAAACAGCCATATGAAAAGAGGGACAGCTCAAATTGGATGGATGGTGGCAAGCAGAAGGCTGCAAGAAAGGTTGCCAGAATTTCAACCTCAATTCTGTCAGCAACACCAACGCCACAAGCAATGACTGAAAGTGTCCTCAAGAAGAAGAAAGTTCCTGACCTCATTACCCTGCTTGAGCAGAGAACAGGGAAGAAAATGAACCCCAAATCCAGAAAACAAGACTTAATAAATGCTTTATTGAGCTCAGACACACAGCCCAGATCTGAGTAACCCTGTGTCACTCACACTCAAAACAAAAACGGCTCCTTTAGGAGCCACCAAATACATGAAAGCAATGACCAATGAATGAGCCTGTGTTTATATCATTGGCCTCTCCTGAGTTTCTGTCCAAGCTTAACATAATGGGTGGTGGGTGAAGCACCCCTATAATAAAAATATTTTATTCCATTTTCTCTCAACTCCAATTTTATAGTTAGCAAAAAGGCACCATGTAAATTGACGAGAATCCAAGTTATCTTAGGCCCGAATTCAAATATAAAACACCTGATAACCATCCTTAAAACAAAATGAGTAGTTAAATATTAAGATGGGCTCGAAGACGTGCCTTTTTTTCCAGAGTCTTTCTAAACGTTGAGAATGTCCACATTTCAATTACCGTCGCCACCATTTTCTTTCTGATTTAAAATGAGCGCATGCAGACAATCTTAGCAAACAACCGCTTGGTGGAGGTATTGTTGTTAGTCTTCATAAACTCTGAGTCTCTGAGTCCCTTTGTTTCGCGCGTTGAGTGAGAGAGACATGTCATCTCAAGATGAGTTAATAACGGTAAAAAATTCTTCACTTTCTTAATTTCTCACATTCACTGATGGCCAAGTTTCCAGCTTTTTAGAGGAGCTGGGTGCATACCTGGAAGGGCACTTCGCCCAGTCAGGTGATGTAAGTAGAATTTATTCATATCTATTTTATTAAATATGAATAACAAGTCATTGTTTTCATAGCAATTTATCAAACAGAGAAATCTCACATGTCGCGTTTTGAAACTCGCAAATGGCGTGAATTTGGACTAAATCTTATTAATCTCCCCTGATTTTAGGTCGCCCAACAAATGGATCCCCTTCAGAGATGGTTAGTATCTTGTGGATTTTTCATTTTTCACTTCATTTCATGCTCTTCAAAGAGAAAGAATTGAAGTTTATTGTTCTAGTGGTCATTTCCGGAACTGTCAACTTTAAACAGGGACTTTATGGCATTGCTGGCACTTCAGTTTGTGGCCTTTAAGCCAGGTGTCCAGGAAATTCTGGAGAACCAGAATACCGGTAAATGACTATTTTGTGTTAAATATTCGTGAAAAACGTATTTCATGCAAAATGAATGATAATACTGGTTGCGGCTATTGTAGGTGCGATTCCGTCGATCTCCACCGCTCTCTCAAGTCTGTAATTGAGCCCAAAGTTGCGGCATGATCAGGGGTGGATCCAGGGTAGTTTACCTGATTTCCGGAACTCACTCAAATTTTTTCCGACCTAGTTAAATGTTGATAAAAGTACTTTTGGAAAACACTCTAATTTCCCTTTGGAAACTACTGATACTTTTGTGGAAATCACTAAACGTCTTCCAGAAATAAACCATCTTCCTGTTTTACAGTTATTTATTAAAGAAAATACGTTAAGAATGACTAATTTCGTTATAATTGCGGTCATGAGGCGTTCGGGAGCGCTCCGGATCACGCGCTGGCCTTTCGAGCTTCGATTACACCTCGGAAACCGTCGGAAGCTGTCAGAAAATGTTCGTGGAGCCAATCTTTACGCAACCGGTGGGTGTAAGTCCTTGTTATTTGGTGACAATAACAGGCGGAACACAGTCAAAACCCCTCACGATTGGCTAGCAAAGATTTCGTCATCGGAACTCACTCAAAACACTCTTCTGATTGGCTAGTTGTGTTTGGAAACTACCTTGGAAACTACTGACAAAGTATAAAAGGGGCAGTTCCTCCCCCAGCGGGTCTCTTTCGTTGCTCCTACAATACAAGTACTTTTGAACTTGCTCAGGGGTCAACGACGGAATAACAATTTACTGTTAAACGTTTAAAAATACTAGTGTTATGACTCATGGAGATCCTGTTTGTCGGAGGGAGGATTGTTCTCCCTTCGACATTGGCCTAGTTTTCGACGAGATCCACAACTACTCGCCGCATCAGAAGCTGGAGTTCGTCGAAAACGTGTGGAAACCAGGTGAGCTTTTTGATTTCCCGTGTCAATGGAAAATGGAAAATCTCGTAAGTTTGTCTCGGGCTGGCTGAAAAGATTTCCATGGCTAGCTTACTCCAAATATTTCGATGGAGCATTTTGTTTAGCTTGTGTTTGTTTTGGAGTTCAGTGTGGGCGAAATGCTAATAAGTTAGACAAATTATTGAAGTCTCCTCTCACAAATTGGACTTCGGCCGCTTCTCGCTTAACCAAACACTCGCTAGGAAATTGTGAAATTCACAATTTTTCTATGACTGCTATGACTGATTTCAAGAGAATGATGCAAAGAGGAGCTGTCCCAATTGACCAGCAGTTAAATAACATAGTTCAACAGCAAATCGCGAGAAATCGGGAAATTCTAAAGTCCCTTTTCAAAACTATTATTTTCTGTGGGAAAACAACATCCCACTCAGGGGGCGGAGAGATGATGATCCCACTAATGCTGCCCTAACCGGTAATTTCCAGGCATTGCTAGAATTACGGGTAGACAGTGGTGACCAAACACTGCAGCAACACCTGGACACTGCACCCAGAAATGCCACATACATTTCAAAGACCATTCAGAATGAAATGATAGAAACTGTTGGTGCTCACATTTTGAATGATCTATCACAGGAAATAAGAAATAGTAAGTATTTTTCAGTTATGGCAGATGAAGCTGCTGACATTTCAAATAAGGAGAATGTTTCTGTAGTAATAAGATTTCTGGATACAACTAAAACCATCCGAGAAGAATTTATTGGGTATTACATTTGTGAGGAGGGATTAACAGGGGAGGCTATCAAGGACATTATAACTGCAGCTGTAGCAAACTTAGGATTGACAATGGAAGACTGTCGTGGGCAGTGTTATGATGGTGCAGGCAATATGGCTGGAAGACTAAATGGAGCCTCCTCATTGATCAGTGCAGAACACGAAAAGGCAATCTATGTCCACTGCATGAACCACAGGCTTAATTTGTGCATAGCAGACACTTGCCAATTGCCAATTGTCAGGAACATGATGGATATTGTGCGCAAGATTTCTAATTTTTTTAACAACTCTCCCAAGCGTCAACAACATTTGATAGCCAAGATCAGAGAACTATTGCCTCGGGCAAACCATACTGTTTTAATTGATGTGTGCCGCACACGATGGATTGAACCGATTGATGGAATGGACCGCATAGTTGAACTTCTCTACCCAGTCACAGCTACACTTGAAGACATCTCACTTAACAGAAACAGCCCTGGAGACTCAACCTGGAATCCAACAAGCAGACATGATGCTCAGTCCTTAATTAATGCAATCAACTTTTCCTTTATTGTTTCTCTTGTTATTGTCAGACATATTTTGGGATTAACTAGACCACTCACAGTGAAGCTGCAACAAAAAGCAATGGATCTTCTAAAAGCTAAAGATGAACTTGCTCTTTTGAAATCAGTCCTTGAAGACATGAGCACTGACATTGCCTGGAAGGCCAATGTTTTGGAATTTTGTAACCATTACAGACAGGACATACCAAATTATGCAGGATTACAGGCAGAGCTTTTGTTATGGGAGAGATTGTGGAAGGGGAGGGATAACAGAGGAGATATTATTCCTGACAGTTTGGAGGCTACACTGAAGGATATTGACAAAGATGCATATGTCAACATCTATTCCATGCTGAAAGTCCTGATCACAATTCCAATTTCATCTGCGTCTTGCGAGAGATCCATATCATCCCTTCGGAATCTTAAGAACTATTTGAGAAATACAATGACCCAGGACAGACTGAATGGATTGGCACTGATGCATGCCCACAGAGACATGGATTTTGACCTTGAACGTATAATAGATTTATTTGCTGAGTTACATCCTAGGAGAATGAGAATGGCAAACATTTTGTAATAATTTTTTGCACCAGCTGTTTCTAGAGTACTTGTGAGTTATGTTCTGTCTGGGTTATGGCCTTTAAGTCTCATAATCCTTAAACTGATGGAGAACAGCACAGAAGCTCAAACTGGTGCCTGTATAACTTTTTTCAACTCATTTCAAGGTTATTTTCTATTTTGTTTTACTTGTGATGATTTTCCATTGACATAGACATTGGGTTTTCATGTTAAGCTTAAATGGTTAACAAACATTTTCACTGAACTCAACCAGCTTCACAGCAATTCCCAAGGATGAAGAAAGGCTAGTATTATTTCAAATTATCATTTTACTTCAATTTGTATATCATTTTATGATTCTTATAATTTATATTTTTCTAATAATTGTTTTATTTTTTGAATTCCAGCTCCCAACACAGGCTAACCATCCATAAAGCCCTTCTCTCTCTCTCAAATTCTTTTCTGTGTTGTGCTCCTATAAATGAAATGAATAAAAGCCAGCTCAGGAAATGTTGTTTTTAGTGTTGCTAAACATTTGGATTTATTGAGCCTGGCTTTCATTCATTTCATTCATTATAGGAGCACAACACAGAAGAAATTTGAGAGAGAGAAGGGCTTTATGGATGGTAAGCCTGTGGTCCCAAGGATGAAAAAGGCAAGTAGATTTTTATTATCAATCTTTAAACTATATCATCAATTGTGCTTGTTTTTCTTTTGTTATCAAAAACACTAACACTTGGTTCGTTTTTTTTTCTCCACATCTTGATTTTCCTGACTGGGAGGTGATGTTTTCCAGTGTGAAAAGTCTTGGTGATGACTTGGCCTTCCTGAAAACACTATATACTCTGGTTTGCACAGTAACTAAAGGTGGAATATTTGTAGATCAGAGTGTTTCCTGTAGTACTTTCAAGAAAAATAAATGTTTTTTGCCTTTTTGATTACATGCTTTTTTAGTCTTTTGGGGGCAATTAAATTTTCTAAAAATGCATGAAATGGCCTTTAGAGAGCTCCAAATTTCAAATTTTCTCGGGGGGGCATGCCCCTGAACCCCCCTAGCAGGAGTGGGTCCTCGGGTGGAAACTACTCACTCAAAATCCTGGATCCACCCCTGATGATGTTAGTAATTTTACACTTAGGTCTAATTTCTTACCAATCTGCCCGCAACATCAGAATAATTTATTTGGAGAAAACAATTGGACTGTTAAGAATTAAAACCAATGTCTTTTTTTCCGTAGGTTCACAGACATAGTGTCAACATGGAAGCCGCACCCAAAATTGTAAAAATTAAATAAATTTGTTATATGGAAAAGCTGTCTCTACTTATCAATAAGTAATTGTGTAGCTATGAATGAATACCACTGTTGCTCATAAACTTTTATTCCATTTGGTGGCTTCTAAAGAAGCCGTTTTCGTAAAAGTAGCATTTGGCTCACTGGATGCGTCCGGCAAAATAACTCTTCATAAACTTGATCTGAACTTTCTGTACCGGGCGGGGAGCTGTTTTGCAGCTTTGTTCATCTACGAAGGAAAGAGACTTGCCAAGAAACAGCTTCAAGGTGACTGGAGCGTCAACCTGACATCCACCACCTGTTACTGTTAAACACCTCTTCAGATAAGGACCAAGGCCTGCTGCTATCAGTTCCTCTTCACTAGCGAGGTACAGAGACCCACGGAGGTCTGATGGCAAACCAGGAAAGAGCGCTCGCACTACATCGTGCCGTATCGTGATAGTTTCGTCGCATGCCAGGGGCAATTTTAAACCCTTCTCAAATAAAAGAGCTAGTCTCTCTCGGCATTCATCAGTGCGAAATGGATCAACAGATCTGTTCTCGAAGGCAGTGATGAGTTCCTCGGGTAAGTGCTCGGCTGGTTCCCACATATTTTCACTCAGGGAGTAGCTTTGCCATTGGATGAAGTACTCTGCCTCCTTGAACTTGTTTTGCTACAATACATTCAACTTCGTAAACGCCCATAACAGTTGGTTTTACCTTCGGTTGGTAATTCGAATTAAAGCCACGTCAATAATGTTGCATAAAAGCCTGGCTGATGTCTCGCATGCTTCAACATGTTGTTGCATATAAGTTTTAGCTACTGATTGGATTGAATGAAACTGTGCTATTTAGATATATGTTTTGATCATCGCAAGACACTTGTGGAAAAAACGAATTTTTTTTTCCTTTTGCCAAAATATCCCTTTTAGTAACCTTATTGAAGAAAAAATAATTTTGCGTTCAAGCGATTCATTGTATGGGAGAAATTACAAAAAGTTTGAAAATCGATTTTTTTGCTGGTTTTTCATACTCAAAACAACAGAATTCGACCGCAACTTCGAGAAAACAGTGACCGCATAAGAAACAATCCCTAACATCGAAACTTCAGCCGAGTATTATTTTACACTTATTCTTTAATTTCCTGAAAGAAATTTGAAGAAAGATGTTTTTAACATTTACAATCGACAAGTTTAAAAAGGTCAAATTTGTATCTCTGGAAATGTTAATAAATGAAGGCAAACTTAAACTGTTGTAAAAGGCCACTGGTATATGCTGCTTCCTGGTAAAACCCATATAGAATAAAACCTTGGCTATTGAACTAAATTACTGGAAAGTTTTAGCTCTGGAAATCCAATATGTAGGGGAGAGCCACAGAAATAGTAGCAACTGTGCTAAAGAGCGTCACCCCTGATAATCTGGTGAACTCTGGTGACGTTTAGCCTCTTTTATGGCTATGAACAAGGCCCTAGGTGTAAGTGAGTTGTCACATTCAGAGCATTTGTATTTAGAGGCCCTAACAGAAGCGTACCAGAATGCAACCAGCTGGGATACCCATAGACAAGTGCTTTCGATTATGGCAGGGGTTGGAACTGTCAACGACATTTCCCGTTATATCCTGGGGTTGACGAGATACCGATGCTTCTTGGCTAATCTTCATGGATCACAGTTTGGCCGAGGTGCTCAAGTTGCACAACAGCCTACCACACGAATACGAGTAGACTTGAGGCAGCTTGCTAAGAGCTAAACGAGTGAAGGAATGCTGTAAAAGATCACTCAAGTGTCAAGAACACAAGGTAGATGAGAAACGAAAGACAATCGATGTCAGTGGCCTTTCCGCACAATTAAATTTCACAGCAAGGCAGATAACACTCTACCAAAGAAAAATTCCTGTTGAACTTTGCATGAAATAGTATGGTATAAGAATGATTGACAACAGCGATCAAGTGAACAGTTTGCAAATTCTGCATATGCCCTGGTGTGGAACCTAGGTAAAAATCCTAATAAGATCTAACAAGATCTTATTTCCTTGTATACCTTGTCTTTGCAGAGCAGTAAAATCTGGCAATTTTCCCACTGACTATTTCATTCATTTGGCTCTGCTCATTACAGCAATGAGACACTTTCATTCTGTAAATGTCTATCCTGTGTCAATGGAAAGCACATAAGTTTTACTGGACAATTTTGTTCCACTGCTTCCAAGATTGTAAAATGAAAGACAGAGCACTTGTAACAGTCAGGTATTGCTTCACTTGCTGAACAGGGTACTTGAAAATGGGCCACTTTTATTTACTCCTGCCTTTGTGTTTAAATCTTTCATTGGACATCTTAAAAATTTGTACAATGGCACACAAGGAATTCCTCACCAAACAATTGAAAACCTGGATTTAAGTCAATCATACAAATCTTTCTTAGCAAGTAATTGTAAAGGTAATGAGGAAGTTAAACACTTTGCTTCAGTACTATGAAAGTACTGTGAAAGATGTTGAGCAAGGCATGTTCTTTTTGCAACCAATTGTTCAAAAGGAACATTCTGTTTATTCTGACGGTTTGAATGGAAAAATTTGGAATGTAGCTATTAGTTTCCTATCGAATGAAAAAAAAAGTCAGTTTTCACAGTGTACAGTATTCCCAGAAGGGAAACTTGTGTAGCTACATTATACATCTTATTAAGAATCCTACAAGAAATCCTTTGAGATCTAACTAGGATATAACATGATTCTTAGAAAGATGACCCTAAAGGATCTTATTAAGAATCCTATGTAGACAGAGGTGTTAACATCACATAAGGATTATCTATTCAGGTAAAAGTTTGCACTTTTTAGCTTAACATTTTCAGTAAACCAAAACGGGAATGACACAATTTTGTTATTATTTCCAACTTTTAATACACATCTGCAAAGCAAAAACAAAAAAAGGTGAAAACAAAACAAAACAAAACAAAACAAAAAAGGAAGTGGCATACCAAAAGGAAGCAGGCAGGAATGCTAAACTTAAGTTCTTTTTTACTTCACCAGCTTTATTCATCAGAATCAATGTATATTTAATTGAGCCATCTTGCTGGCATATTTTAAAGTACCCACTAACAAATTGTATGTCAAAAGTTACACCCCCTTCAAACAAGCTTGAACTGCAGGTTTGTTGTGTGTAACATCAGTAGCCTTTTTGTTTTTTTAAATGAAATTTTGCTGGTTTTTCTGAAAACCAGATTTCCAATGATAGACTCCTTTCAATTTAATGGACAAGAAAAGTTTAATGTTTGGCCTTTGTGTGCTTTCCAGTAGAGCTTCCACCACAAGACAGATACAAATATTGTAACATTCTTTTGACAGGTCTTTGGTATGGTAAGAACAAGCCATATATGAACTGTTTGTGAAAAGATTTTTTGGTGAAGTTACAGAAGCCTCTGAATTTTGTGAGTTTAATGATGATAATAGTTGCCCAGTTCTTTCAGTTGTTTAAATCTAATTGGTTGTTTCCATTTTACCAGCCATAGCCTACTCCTATACACTGTACATTAATAAGAAATTTGGGTGCAGTCCATGCAAACATCAAGGTAGATATGTTAATGAGTTGAGAGCATGCATATATGAATATTTACCATTGAAAGACGAACAGCAGAGGAGACTTTTGAATTTGCCAGAGTAAGCGAAAATACATCAACACCAATATTTGTCATCGAAAGAGAAATTGTTTTCGGGAAGCCTGTTGGTTTGCCAGATAATACTGCAATTGATTGGATACATGGAGTGTGTGAGGAAATAATGAAATGACAGTTGTTCAACCTTTGGTTGGACAACCGGTTTAGTGGAGAGCAATACAGTCTTTGAGGCTATAACAAAGAACTGGGGGAAGTTTACATATCTATAAAAGTTCCACATGATTTTGCATGGAAACCATGGAGCTTTAGTGACTCCACAAAATGGAAAGCCTCTGAATTTTGTATTTTTGTCCTATTCACTGGCCTTCCTCGTCTTGTAGTTTGTTCAAGAAGATAGCTACAGGAATCAAATGCACATAAATTATGTCACTCAAGTGATGTTGACTTTTCAGAGGAATACACTCATGTTCTCATCAAAACGCCTCAAAAGAAGAAACTTTCAATCAGTGATGAACCACTTTATGATAGTCATGGCCCTGGAATCCAGAAACACCCCAGAAGGAGGATTGCAGACCCCATGAAACTTTAAGTTGTGAGTAAGTCTGAAAGTGATCAGTCTGAAGACCCAGAGAGTGCTCCAGAATCCACCTGAAGAGAGTGAACCTGAAAATTATGACACTGAGAGCAACAGTGACATGAATTTTGGAATAAACCATGGTGAACTTCCATTGTATAATGGATCTACTACCTTAACGGCTGACCCTTGTAGCAAGTAGATGTTATCTTCATCCTCCATTTTTATTGTTTTGATTTCTTTCTGGCATCCTGACTCTTTGATGATGTCCAATTTTCACCAGGTTACCTGTGCTTTAGTTGTCAACTTTGGAAAGAGCTTCCTTTCTGAGATGTTTTTGACGATGAAGAGGTTTGAGTTGACACTCCAGACATCAGTAATATGAAGGAATCTCCTTTTGCTCTAAGTGCACAAGTCTCTGATCTCAATGCGATTTTACAACACCATACCCATAATTTAAGAATCGCATACCTAAATGTGAATTGTGTGGCTGGCTTTAAATTATTAGAAGTGAAATCACTGATACTCAAGGGTTTTTTTATGTTTTTGTAATTGCTGAGACAAAGATAGATCAAGCTTTCCCCGATTCACAGTTCTAGGATTGTAATTGATTTGGAGGAGTTCTTCTTGTTTATATTGGAAGAGGCCTGAATACAAAAAGAATTAATCATCTGGAAGGCAATTACATCGAATCTATTGCTCTGCTGGTACAGCCAATGAGGTCATCAAAAGAGACACTGTTTCTGTGCACATATACATTACCAAATGCAACTAAACATCTGTCAACTAAACCCAACTAAACATCTGCCACTAAACCCAAAGCTGCAAAGTATATGCATGTAAATAGAATCAAAAAAGTATCTTTGATAACGCAAGAAAAGATGTGAAATATAACTTCAATGTATCCTTTAAGGTGTTTCAATTTTGGTCACTGAATGGAATACCGTAAAAACTCGTGTATAAGCCGCACCTTTCTGCCGAAATTTTGAGTAAAAAATCGCGGGTGCGGTTTGTACACGAGACCATTGCTCTCAAAAGGAGTAAACTGGCTTGTAGGGGTCACAAATTGAACTGAAAACCTTCAGTAAATAAAGATTAAACATATTGAAACCTGTTGTTGATCATTGCTTTCAGTAGAAGTGGTGGCTCCTAAAGGAGCCGTTTGTTTGCATCTTCAGGTTCTATACCTGAATCTTGCTCACCAGTAGTTCTTTTAAGCGTTTCATCTGCGCTTTGTTTGAGCAGTTAAACTCTAACTGGCACGGAATTTCGTCTATGACCGATCACTTCAACGCTGATTTCCCCACTACGTGCAAGAACATACCACGCTATTCGAGAGAATTTGCAAGGCAAATGGCCGACAGTTTCGTCGTCCTTCACTACTTTCACGGCATGTTTGTCCATTGGGTTGTCAAACTCTCGTTTAGCAACAAGCTTTTCCCCGATTGATGGTTTCTGTACGTCTTTATAAACATGATATCCACGCACAGCTGATGCGAAAGCGAACGTTTCCATGTTGTTTACTGATCGCGGTCTTCTGTGTGATTCGGCCCAGGCTTTCTATAATGTTTTTTAGCCAATCAAAGAAGAGTGCTTCAGCCTTTGGATGTGTCCATTAACAAGCCCTTCAAGGACCGCATGCGGGCAAAGTGGCAAGACTGGATGTTGGCTGGACAGCACAGCTTTACTGCCGGGGGTCGCATTTGCAAGGTTGGGCTTGACGAGATCTGCAGATGGATCAGTGACGCCTGGGACGACATACCACCAGAGATGATCGCCAAGTCGTCTTGCAAATGCTGTATCACCAACGCATTGGATGGCACAGAAGACGAAGAAATCTGGGAAGAGGAGTCGGACTCAGATCCATTTGAAGATCTTGATGAAGTAGATAGTGATGACCAGCTGTATTATGCTGATCACTTCAAACGACAACTTACAGAAATTGACCCTGAATGCTTTGAGAACATTTTTGGTGAAAGCGATGGCGAGGACTTTTATGGTTTCTAAGCAACTACAACAGTTGTTGAACATTGAACACTGGTCGATAGAATGAACTTTAACAGTATATTAATGCTCATGTAAATAGTTTTTGCTTTTCTTGTGAAAATAATACCGAACCGTGTTGTACAAGATTTCGCTTTGAACAAAGATTGATGAGCCGTACTTTCAAAAATTGTACAATGTAAATAGTTTTTTTCTTAAACAAGGAATTTCGTTTTCTAATATCAAGATATCTGTACCTGTTACTTGTAAATACATTATTCAGTTTTGTAAAATACAGTCTTCACAAGTCCACCATTTGTTTACTTGTGTCCTTCTCTGGTGTCCAGACTTCCCTTCTCAAATAAACGGGTGGTTACTAAGCAAACGTTTTGTAGCATTCTCCAGCGCTTTATTTTCGTTCCATTTTCATTTCAATTGTGGGCTTTAACAATGAAGAGAACTGTTGTCTTTCGCAGGAAATGGGGAAATTGATTAAAGAGAACCTTTTAAAAGGTATTTTCAGAGTTGATTAACTTATTTAAAATGTCACTGCAAATACACAACATTAAATTTCCTCATGCATTTTTGCATTTTTGGTTTTTTTTTCAAAATCATGCTTGAAAGTTGGGGGTGCGGCTTATACACGAGTTTTTACGGTACATTTAATGCTTAGTCCTTTAACTGTGTAAACTATAAAGTCACACTATCTAACAGCAGTGACCCCCATCAGTCCCTGCACTTGAGTACAGTAATTGTGATTGCGCTTCAGTTTGGGTTCATCATTGACATTTTCTAGAAAAAAAATGCTATCTGAAAATGTATCTAGGGGGTAACCAGGAATTTTGTTTCAGGACTCTTGACCTTTGAAAGGCCGAAAGGCAATGAGCAGCCAACATCAATACCTTTCCATCAGGTGAAGCACCCAAATATGGTGCATCCAGACTCACTAAAAGAGTTGATTTCAGGACTTGTACTGGAAAATGGATGGGAAACATGTACTTTTGCTACTGTTCCAGGGCAACTGGTTCATATTTCATCCCACGATTAGTATACCACAATGTAAAGGGCTTGGGGAGCAACAGGCTGTCAATGAAACATTCATGATGCCTTTTCCTTGCACTAATTAAGCCAAAGTTTGAACCTGTAAATCTAAATTTTTGTTCATTCTTCCACTCCACACAATTAGATTGCCTTTGTGTCTGTACTTTTTCACTGCCAAGCAACAGGATAGTGTTTTCCTCTAATCGACAACTATGAAGTAGCATATTGCGTGATGCCAAACTGAGTTAACAGAACCCTGCTGAAGGCCCAAACTGAGGTTGTGTCCAATTTATGAGGTCATATCGAGTGCCAGCTCTCATTACAACTTCTTTCATATGAGCTTAAAGATATATACAGGAGGGCAGAAATCACACTGTGGCATTATAAGATCACAAAACTTGCAAACACGAACTTTTGCGTCACTGAGTTTGATACGAGTCACATACTAGAAACACATAATGATAACATGCGACAAGACCTGCAAATCTTTGCGTGATAGTGGTTTGTGCCCTTGTGTCCTTGTTGTTGCAAAGAAGATTGATAAGCTGCGAAGTTTTGTTGCCACTTACGAGAAAACTTCTGACAAAATGGGAAAGATCATCAACCCAAACCTCTGTAAACAGCTTGGGAGAAAGCCAAACCAATGAGCAAAGCCAAGAAGAGGGAAAAATAACAGGAGCCAGGTACCACTCGTGTCAGATGAAGACCCCTATGACATTATGGTGCCAAAGCCAATGAGGTACATCTAGCACTACCAGAATGACGAGCCCTTTCATGTGGTGTTTACTCATAACTACTCGAATGCAATAACATACACCAGTTGCACAGATGAGTTCCCCAAGTGAATAAAGATGGCACCCTATGACATTGTTATACTTCATGAAGAATGATATCACTACCCTAGAAAAGATGATGATGGCATAGAGAAAGAAGTTATAGAGAGTATTTTATTACACCTACACATGGGTTGATACCAGTTTTTTTACGGTACTAGCTGATCCATTTTGTAGGGTAAATAGAGTTCTTCCTCTTCTTTTTCTTATTATTATTATTATTTGTAACAAAATCAAGTATGGTTCATATTTGGCATCTTTTATTTTGTATATACAGTTCCTCCTGCACTTCAGAAAAAAAAAAAAATACGAGGAGGAGGAAGATCTCCTGATTGATGCAGAGGCAAGTAAGTAAAAATTTAAAATGAGTTATCTTAATCTGGGCATGCAAAGAACACATTTACCTAGTTGATTCTCTGATATCCTACCATTAGAACCAAGATGTGAACCTGCCTATGACCTCCAGTTGTTGAGAAGGTTGATAGTAGCAAATGATGTGCCCCTGCACCAATGCACTGGGAGTAAGTGCATGAAGTCTTGTTTGCATGATTTTAGATAAGTTTGCCTATGAAGTCTCTTTGGCTTACAATTATCATGTAATGACTTAGTCATTAGCACAATGAACTCCAGATTGTGTTGCAGTCAGGTTCAAGACCTGGCTATATGTCATCGGGTTGTGTGTTTGGATAAGATAAATTTACTCCAGCACTATCAACTAGACCCAGAGAACTTGCAGGGGAACCTGACAAAATACTGAGATTATCTTCAACCGAGCCACCAGCTATTCATGGCCTGGTTTCTTCATGGGACATTAAAAAAAAACATGACATAGAACACACATAGTGTTTGGACATTTCCAATGGATTCTTTCCATTCACTAAATTATACAGGTGTATTAGTATGGTATTTTTGGAAGAGACAGATTTTGTGCATTTATCTAATTACAAGCAATCACTTTGTCAGTGATCTCATTATCTAAAATTTTGACCCAAATGAGAAAGCAGTACCACCTGGATTACACTCCATTGGAACTTATCAGATATATAGCAACACAAAAAGCCAAGGATATCTTAAGGTACACTTCCTGTATATTTCAACAATATTTCAAGGGCAGGCTTGACATTGAGTAAACCACCACTGACCTAAATTCATTTTAATCAGAGTGAGGAAGGATAATCATGTGATTCTAGTTAAAGATGTATAACTAATGGCCAAGATGCACAAGTCTGATAGTATCAGTGTATCCATCACTTTATTGAATAAAGTGAACTCTATTGGTTTACTTAACAGCTTTATTGGATATAGCTGTTTTGGGAACCTGCTACCTGTATGTCTCTCTTCAAGGCATCAATTTGATGACAATGGTAAGGATGTGGGCTTGATTACCAATCCCTGTTTCTGAACTAAACTTTACTTTTCCCCATCAAATGTATTTTATAAAGTGGTGTTATGAATTACTCCTTATAAATTCCACTGTTGCAGGAGGCTTCTGACAGGGCCAAATGTACCCAAACAGAGGCAAGAGTTCAAACTCCTGTATGTTTTAGAAATATTTGTGACCCTTACAAGAGCAGAATATTAACATAGCACATTTACAGTTGTATTACTTGAAAATAAACTGTGTAAATCTGGACGTATCTATTTTTATGTCTTAATTCTTTCAAAAGCAGACAGACCTCAAGACACAGAAAACGAGGGAATTATTTTTTAAAATTGATTTTGTATTACAACATACAGGTAGAAATTAATAAACATGTAAAATGCCAGCCATTGCCCACCTCCACCCCTGACATCAATCTCAGTTTGTGATGAGTTGATTAGCAAGACATTGACAGCTAGAAATATTGGTGTTCTGTAAGGTACAGTCATGTCAATGGAACATCATGTTACAGCTGTATGTGGCAGGCCTCTTCCACCTTCAAAATATCAGCCGTATAAAGAAATATATCAGTTGCCATACAGCAGAAATACTTGTGCACGCTTTCATTACTTCCAGACTGGACTTCTGTAATTCACTTTTGTATGGACTGACAAAACAGACTATCAAGCGGCTTCAGCATATTCAAAATGCAGCTGCCAGAATGGTTGCACTTACACCCAAACATGAACATATATCACCGGTATTACAGGAACTGCATTGGCTTCCTGTAGAACAGTGCGTAGTTTTTAAAATTCTTTTGGTGACTTTAAATTGTCTAAATGGCATAGCACCTTCATATTTGTCTGACCTAGTTACAAGGTATATTCCTAGGCGCAACTTAAGATCTGCTAATGGCTGTCACCTGTTTAATGTCAAATATAATCTGCGCAACTTTGGCTTTCGTTCTTTTTCAGTAGCGTCACCACAGTTGTGGAATGACATGTCACTAGTGTGACGAACGTTCAGCAAGCGAACTGAACTGAAATGAACTGAACTGTTTTGTTTTGTGTGATTATTTACTATCGTTTAAATTCTATTATCGTTTCATTGTTCATTCTTTTAATCATTTATCAGAGCGTATTTGATCGTGTTATTAGCCGCCTATCATGTTTAAAGCCTGTTGCTTACATAATCTCTGTAGTATCACATATCGGAGTGTCGGAGTAAGTTGTCGGAGTATATCCATCTAGAGTTTTCTATCGGAGTTATTGGAGTTTTCGGAGTAACTGGAGTCACTT